GACTCCCGGGTGAGTTCTCCAGTCCCAGAGATCAAGGCCAAAAAAGCCATGCCAGAACTAAAGCAGGGAGATTATATAGGATGCAGGCTAAGGGAGAGATGTGTCCACTACAAGCTGGGTTTGTGCCCAAGTATGGTCAAAAGCTGAACGCTTTAGGCGGTGAATTTAGGCAGCTGACAACTTCACAGGGGGAACAGCCAGCACCGCCAAGAATGTGGGGCTGGGTGTTTTGTGCTTTCCCTTTGTTCTGGGATTCTTGGCTGGGGAGTGGGGCATTGGAGAGCCTGGAGTGGGGCTTTCTGGATCATTCGGGGGTGAGCTGAAGCTTCCAACTGGACACATCAGGACACCTATTTTTGATTAAATAAAGTTTTATTGGAGCACAGCTGGGCTCATTTGTTTACATATTTTTAGAGATCATTTTCATTTTATGACAGACTTGAGTAGCTGTGACACTGTTTACTCTGACTGGAAAGCCCAGACTTAGGCCAGCTTCAAGAGCATGTGACCTGAACAGTTGCATACAGAGCCCCTCAAGGACTCCAAAGGGCCCACACTTGGGCACATTCCAGCCTTCTTAAAATTCTTAATAATGGTTGAACAATAGCTGCACCTTGCATTCTGCCTTTGGAAAGATGTGCAGCTTTTAGTCCTGTGTAAAACACTGACCATCTGTCCTTTTAGAGAGAAGCCTACTGACTGCTTACTCCAATTTGCCTCTCGATGATAAAATGCTAATCAAAAGCAATTTGGGTGCAATAAGAGAAGGCTCTCTGGCATGCTGAGCACATGCTGGACCATCAAGATGCACTGTCCGGGCGGTGGTGGTGCACGTCTTTGATCCCAACACTTGCGAGGGAGAGGCAGGTGGATCTCTGTGAATTTGAGACCAGCCTGGTCTACTAAGCTAGTTCCAGGACAGCCTTCAAAGCCAAAACCAAAATAACAATAACAAAACCAAAAAAAAAAAAAAGCCCTGTCAACCCACAAGGGACTTTGGCTTTTAAAAAGCCACAGACAGTTTTGATGTACAGGCAAGGTTTTGAACCACATTATTACATGGGAAACAACAGGTTAGAAACCTGGTACATCAGATTTGTTTGTTTTTGAGGTTTGGCACGCTAAGTAGATGACCTGGCTGCAATGCTGTGTTTGAAAACATGTCTCTTCTGTAGTCTTGTGATAACTGGTATATAATATGTACACAGGATTCTAGGCTGGCAATTAATTTCTGCCAGTATTTTAATGTAATCCCCACTAAATTTCTGCCAGTATTTTAATGTTATCCCCACTAAATTTCTGCCAGTATTTTAATGTAATCCCCACTATGTTCCTATTCCAGAAGATATTGTTTAAAAGTTCAAGGCCATTCTCTCTCTCTCAACACACATACAATTATACAATCAGGCAACATACATACAAATTATTAGGCAATTCCTTTGTCATTGGTCTCTGTAATATGTCTGATTTATTTATTTATTTATTGTTTGTGTTTGAGATAGAGGCTTGGGAAGCACACAGAGGATTTAAGCAGGGAATCAATATCACAGAGGTACTCTGGCCCCAGGGTCCAGAAAGAATTCTCTCTTCCCACCCCCTCTGGTGTATGTGTGTTGATTTTTCTTTCTATAAAAATGTAGACATAACCATCATGCTCTCAGAGTTCTAAAATTTCTCAGTAGCGAATTTTGATGTGAGTTTATTTCTATCTTATTGCAGGTTCTTGGTGAATCTTTCACAGCTGAAAACTTAAAGTCTTTTCATCTCTGGAACTCACACACCATACACAGACATAACACACCACACACACACACACACACACACACCACAGACATACATACACACACAAGCACACACACAGACACATACACAGATAACCACACACAGAGACACATACACCACGAAAAGACACATATAGATGTACACACACACACCACACACACAGACATACATACACAGATATACCACATACACACTACAAACAGAACAGACACATAGACATACACACACCACATACACACACATAAACAAAGAAACACTACACAGACACATATAGACACATACACACCACACACACATATACGTACACACACAAGCACACACAGACACACACACCACAATTAGACACATATAGACATATACACACATGCAGACACAGATACACCTCACACACAGACATACACACACCATACACAGACACATAGACACACACACACCACACACCATACTCACATATATATACACACAAGCACACAGACAGTTACACTCAGACAGACAGACAGACACACACACACACACACACACACACACACACACAGACATCTTCTCTTTGCTGTCATCCTGTTGCTTGGATGTTGGACCTGGGACTGATGCTTTGTATTTCTTCTTATTTTTCATTTCCACTTGCTCTTCCTGTCTTGTTGTTATTTGTTGCTTTTGTTGATATTTATTTTTTACTTATGTGTATGAGTGTTTTGTCTGCACATACATTTGTGCACCAAATGGATGCTGGGTGCCCATGAGGTCAGAAGACTTGGCGTTGGAGATGTTTTGTGAGCTGACATGTGGGTGTGGTGCTGGGAACTGAACCTGGGTTCTCGGCCAGAGTAGCTGTGCTCTTAAACCACCGAGCCACCTCTCTAGCATCTGTTTTAGTTTTTTAAACAGGGTCTCGTATAGCCCAGGATAGCCTAATACTCATTGTGTGGGTGGTGCCGATGTTGGCCTTGCAAACCTGATCCTCCTGCTTCTACCTCCTAATGTAATTGCTGGGATGGCAGGCCTTTGCCACCACACCTGTTTTTACACAGTGCTAGAAATCTAGCCCATACTTCCTGTCTGCTAGGCAAGCACTCTGCCTCTGAGCTATGTCCCCAATCTGGTTTGGTTTTTGGTTTTTGTTTTCTTCTTCTTCTTTTTTTTTTTTTTTTTTTTTTTTTTTTTTTGTCTTTTTGTTTTCCAAGACCAGGTTTCTTTGTGTAGCCCTGGCTGTCCTGGAACTTGCTCAATAGGCCAGGCTGGCCTCTAACTCACAGAAATCCTCCTGCCTCTGCCTCCCGGGTGCTGGGACTAAAGGCCTGTGCCACCACTGCCTGGCCCATAGTCTCTTCATTTTCAAGTGTTCTCTGAACACCCTGCCAACCCCTTATGCTTCCTCCACCCCCCACGTAGCCCCTGTCTTCTTTCTTCCCTGTAGCAACTTCTCTTGCCTATGTGGCAGTACTGGTGTAAATTTGGGGACTATTCTTTTTTTCTCACAGTTGTGGTTCTCTCCAAATGTCCCCTCTCCCTTTTGTCTGTCTTGATCTCCTGTTGATCTGCTTTGTTCTTTTCAGTACTGAGGATTTAATTGGGACCTCAAACATGCCAGGCATGTGATCTAACACCTCGGTTCAGCTTCCTTGTTTTGTAGTAGTTTTCTCGGGTTCGTCCTCAGATGTCCAGGTGTGCCTTTCTGAGCTGTTTTGGTACATAAGTCTCTACTGGGCAGTTCGCCGGGAGGTTCCTCTGATGTCCCATCTACAGGTCTCTTTTGCTGGGACTAGGTAGTTTTTCTGCCAAGCTTTTGGAGCCTGGTGCCCAGTAGGTAAAGGCTGCCTATGAGGCTTCTAGAAGCCTGGTGGGAGAGCAGGCCTTCTGGTGGTGGTGGTGGTGTTATGTGTCTCAGGATCACAATGGATGTGGTCACACAATGACCATTAAGTCCTTCCACCACACTGCCCCACCTCCCACTACCTTTAGTGGTGCCTGATGGGCCCCAGGGCAATAGCAGCTTCTGAAAGTGAAATTCCAATACCAACAAGCCACCCAAGCAGCAAAGCCCCTGAACATTGCTCTCTGATGACTACCATATCTGGCCACTTCCTCCATGTCCCCATCACTTGACCCAAATGCCCATATTTCTCCTCTAGCCTCTACCCTAGACCATCTGTATCTTAATGGCTCCCATCCTTTCTGGATCCTTGGGGCCAGAGTACCTCTGTGATAATGCTTCCCCACTTGAAACCTCTCTCTGTTTCCCATGGCCTCAAGAAATGGCCCAGTTCTTCCTCTGGTACCCATGCCTCCCTAGTAAGGCTTCTAGTCCCTTGCCTCCATATGCAGTCCTTCTGACATCCACAGCCCTGCCCAAACGCCCAGCTCCTTGTCTGACTCGCCCTTTAGACACAGCTCTGTAACCAGACCATTTATAAGTCCTAGCCACATCTCTTCTCCTGAGATTGCCTATTCTCCTTGGGATCCTTAAGAGAAGTCTGCCAGTCCATAGTGTTACCGCAAGTTCAGTGCAAGAGAATGTCACCCAAGAGCTACTGAGTTGCTTGGGGCAGCAGAGGCCATTGCCACTTGCACCTCTGGAGAGATTTGTTCTGGCAGCTCATCATGAGGGAATGATAATGTGACCTTTGATTGAACCCAGGGAGCCAGCCCCCAGGTCAGTGAGCTTGCTGCTCATCCTCTACATTACATACAGACAAGGGGTAAAATGGAGAGTATACTGCATGTGACCCCCAACTGCTCAGCAGGATTACCAAATGGAGGCCTTTCCCAGAGGAGACTGTTCTACCCAGCCACTTTCCTTCTCCAGTAACTGCTAAAAAAGCCAACTGGCCAGTAGGCAGGCCAGGGAGTAGTAGGCACAGACATATTCTGGTGAGAAAAGATGGGTGAAGAATTGGGCAGCTGCCAGGAGAGGGCACAAAATGCTCCCAGAGCATTTGATTCTCAGCCCACTCAGAGAGGGCATCACCCGTCACCACCACTAACTACAGATGAAGAAATAAGAACTCCTTAAGTGTGTCACTCAAGGTCATATGCCAGAAAGCACCACCCATACCATGATGTCCCCTGGGATCAAGGGGATAGTGAGAACTATTTAATGGTTTCCAGAATCTCATAGCTGGGCAGGGAAGGAGGCACAGTGGGGCATCCTTAGACATCTGGGAAAGTGCATCTGGAGCCAGGCAAGGCTCAGCAACCCTCTCGTATGGCTTCTTTTCTAGGAACTGGTGCCCTTACCAGAAGTCTAGACTGGTCACCTTTGTAGCTGCTTGCAAAACAGAGAAACTCCTGGTCCATTCACAGCAGCCGTGTCCACAGGGGGCTCCTGACTGCCAGGGAGTCAAAGTCATGTGAGTGGGGTGAACAGGCCATTTTCCAGGCCCAGTTAGCCCACCAGTGGTGCTGAATCCCTGCCTTCTTCCTCAGGTACCGAGTGGCCCAGAAGCCAGTGTACCAGGTCCAACAGAAGGTACTGGTCTCTGTGGGCTGGAGGTGCTGCCCAGGCTTCCAGGGTCCAGACTGCCAGGACTATGGTAGGGCTCCCCAAAGCCCCTCCTTAAGCCCTGACCCCAGAAATCCTGCTATTCCTCAGACTTCTGAGCTCAACACACCATGTTTTCCTCTGCAGATCCCACAGCAAACCCGGAGCCCACGGAGCCAAGTGGCGAACTCCCGGAGACTTGGGACCAGCTGCATGGTTTTGAACTTGGTGTGTTGCTTTCCTGGAAGGACAGAGCTCATGTGTTTACTTCTTCCTCCTTTGATGGGTGGTACCATTTCAGGAAAACTGTGCCCTCTGAATCAGCATGGGTTACCTTGTGGTCCTGCACTGTTCTCTGAGAACAGGTTCCCAGGGCTCTTAGCCTACTGCCTGGGGCTGATTCTTGTCCCTTTCTCTGACCCCATTTTTCTTGGAAAGCTGGCTTTGCTCCTTGATCTACACAAACTCCCAGACTTGGAAGAACTTTTCCACACGCTTGCACACTGCCTGCCCCCTACCAACACCAGGACCTGGAAGTCATGATGCCCTTAGTCTCAGCATTAACAAAAGAGTCACCATTTATGAATTGATTTCAAGGGTGGGAGAGGACATGGATTTAATTAAGTGATCAACTAGCTACTTGTTGGAGCTGCAGGCAAAGAAATTGTGGCTAAGGAAAGAAATGTGCTGATTGATTAGTCATGTCTGCTGTGGGTGTGGGAGGAAAGGGGATAGCTTAGAGAGCTGGCTGTATTTGCCCTTCTGAGGCTAAAGGCTTCTAAGTTCCAGCTCATGAATGAGGGGCCAACATACTCACTTGCTCTGGGTCCCAAGTCTCTTACTGACTGCATTATATGCTCAAGCCTGGTGAGCTGGCCTTTAACACTCATGACTGGTCTATTTTCAGGCCATCCTGTCACAGAGTTCAATGAGATTAAGGTGCCACAGGAACAACAGGAACATCTGCTTCAAGATCTCCAGAATGATGCCCAGCTGGTAGAAGATGGCCTCCCAGGCCCTTGGGAGGCCCAGGCCAGTAACCTCACAGCTGAGACCACAGAAGCCAATCAAACAGAATTTGGTGAGTTGTAGCCCCAAAGAAGGCACAGGCTTCAGAGGCCCTACTCACCCAGCCTGGGGAGGGGTGTGTGCTGCAGCTGCTGTGTGAAACATGGTATCTGTTGCAGAGTTCACGGGCAGGATGTCAGAGCACCTACTGCAGGCCCATATCAATGCGTTCCTTCAAGCACACTTCAGTCCCACCTGGAAGAGCTTCGGTGAGAGTTTGCACAGCCTCTCCCAGGCTATCAGAAACTTGTCTCTTGATGTGGAAGCCAATCACCAGGCTGTCAAGAAGGTCCAGGACAGCACTGTGACCAGGGCTGACCTCCAAGAGCTTAGTGCCAAGTTTGATGCCAAGATCCAGGAGAATAACCAGAGAGTGGGCCAGCTGTGGCAGGATGTGGAGGACCAGTTGCATGCCCAACGCCGTTCTGTGCACCACGCCCTCTCTGAGGTCCAAGCTGAGGTGAGCAACAAGTTAAAGCAGCTTATCAAGGCTCAGGAACTTCCAGGGACTAATGGCAGCCTGGTGGTGGCATCTGCAGCAACAGCAGCGGCAAGGCCACAGCCAGAGAGCCTGCAGGCCAGGCTGGGCCAGCTGCAGAGAAACATCTCTGCTCTGCACATGGTCATTGATCAGAGGGAGGAGGAGTTGCAGAGCACCCTCAAGAACATGGACAGTGTCCTGAACCGGCATGTGGATGAAATCAAGGAGCTGTACTCTGAATCAGACGAGACCTTCGATCAGATCAGCAAGGTAGAACGGCAGGTGGAGGAGCTGCTGGTGAACCACACGGGACTTCGAGAGCTGCGCGTGATCTTGATGGAAAAGTCCCTGATCATGGAGGAGAACAAAGAGGAGATGGAGCGGCAGCTATTGGAACTCAACCTCACTCTGCAGCATCTACAGGTGGGTCACGCAGACCTCATCAAGTATGTCAAGGACTGCAACTGCCAGAGGCTCTACTCTGACGTGGATGTTATCCCGGAGGGTCAAAGGGACACCGTGCACACCCTGGAGGAGACCCAAGTGAGCCTAGATGAGCAGCACCAGCTGGATGGTTCTTCTTTGCAGGCGTTGCAAAGCACTGTTGATGCCATGTCTTCAACAATGGATGAGCAAAAAGGAGAGAGTGAGCGGGCGCGGGTGGAAAGGGCCCGGATGCGGACTCAATTACGGGCGCTGGACAATGCAGTGGAAGCTCTGAAGGCTGTGGCGAACCAGACCCGCAGAGAGATGCGCCAGCTGCATAGCTCCTTTGCAGCCCTTTTGGAGGATGCGCTGCGGCATCAGGCGGTGCTGGCAGCCCTCTTTGGGGAAGAGATGATGGAGGAGATGGAGGAGGTGCCTCGCCCTCTGCCCCTGAATTATGACCAGATCCGCCTCGCCCTGCAGGACGCCGCCAGCGGGCTGCAGGAACAAGCATTTGGCTGGGATGCCTTGGCCATTCGAGTGGAGGTCTTGGAGCAGGCTTTGGAACAGCACCCACAGTTGGCAGAACGACTACAATCCAGCCACGACTCTGGGAGGGCAGAGGAAGCCATGGCTTTGGTGAACCTGGAGCAGGAGATTCAGCGCCTAAACTCAGATGTCAAGCAGGTTGGGCAGTGCTGTGAGGTCTCCAGGGCTGCCTCCCTCAATAGCTCCCTTGAAGATCTACACAGCATGCTCTCTGACACTCGGCATAGCCTGAAACAGCACCAGCAGCTCTTCCACGGCCTTTTCCGGAACTTCCAAGAGCTGATGGCAAGCAACATCAGCCTAGACCTGGGTAAACTGCAGGCCATGTTGAATAAGAAAGATAAGAAGCAGCAGAAGGGCCTAGAAACATCTCGGAAGAGGGAGAAGAAGCAAGTGGTGATGTCTGCAGATGCACATGCCAAAGAGATGGAGAAAGGTGTTCTGGACTCCCAGGAGCTCTGGGGAGCAGGTGAGTGCTGAGTGCTCAGGCCCCAGGCTATCTGCCTACCCAGATGCTCCCTTCTCCTGGGGAAGAGCACTGGGTGAAAGAAAGCAGGATTATTGGTCACCACTACCACTACACAGGGAGCTACCCTCCCCTTCTCTTCAGGACTATGGGCTTTTTTTTTTTTGGTCTGTTTGTTTTGAGACAGGATTTCTATGTGTAGCCCTGACTGTCCTGGAACTAGCTCTATAGACCAGGCTGGCCTCAAACTCGCAGAGATCCACCCGCCTCTACCTCCTAAGTGTTGTGATTAAAGGAGTGTGCCACCACACCTTGCAGCTATGAGCCTCTTAAGCTGCCTGGAGTGCAGGGAAGTACAAGTCTCAAAAATCAGTTGTAGTCCCAGAGCCCCTGAGTTGGCACAGGCTCTAGCCATGGAGCAGAGTGTCTCAACTCTTCACCCTCACCCTAGTCCTCAGCCCTGCACTCTAGGGAGGGTGGATTGGAGCAGGGGTGAACCTGAGGAAAGGCTTATGCTCAGAAGGAAGGGGCTTTTTTAGTAAATACAATTGGCAGTGTAAACACCCTTCGGTACCTTCCCAGGGCTTTCCCGTGATGACAGCCTTAGCTGCTCCATCATGCATTGATACCACATCTTACCTGAAACGGAGGCTCAAGCCCCATAAATGACCTCACCCAAGCAGCCCAGAGAGGCTGGCTCTCAGGTGCAGGAGGTCCACAGAAGGGCCTGAGGGGCCCACCTTCACAGAAGAGTTGTCACCTGACAGCTCCCTTTCCCCAGCACAGGCTTAATGCACAGGAACCAGGTTCTACATCCCTCAGCATCTCCAGAGAGCCATGTGCACTTACACTAATTGTGAGTGGTACAAGCTCCAACATGCCAACGATTGACATTTACCATTTGCCTGTCTGTTAACTCCTGCAGTATTTTTTTTTATTTCAGAAAGTATTTTTTCCCCTTTAAAAACTCTTTTCTTGCAATAAGGCCTATAGCTTGAATTTGTGCCCTGCAGCGAAGTGCATGGTCAGTTTGCATAGCCCTTCTATCTTCTGGAGCCCTTAGGATCTCCTGCTGAGATGGACTCACAGATTTGGGCAGGGTGAGAAGAACCCATGGCCCACAGCAGGCGCTGTAGGGCAGCTTCCTTTCACCAAGGCAGGAGCGCCATCTGCTGGATGCTTGGGGACTGGAGCACCAGCCCTCAGTATTCCCTGTGGCACAAACAGGAAAGCTATTCATAAACAATTCTCTTAAAAACTTCCAGACAGAGAAAAGTAAAATTTCGTGATTCTTAAGGCTATTTCTGGATTAGGAGGCAAAAAGATGGACTGCAGTCTGAGACTCAAGTCACTAACTGCTTTGCAACTTCTTTGAAGTCTTGGTTCTGTTTTCTGAAGAATGGGGACTTACACAGAGGGGTGGGGAGAGAGACAGAGACAGATCAAGGAACTCCCAAGAGGATCCTGCCAAGGTTGACCTTGCTTTCTGGACTCTGGTAAGGTACATTCTTCTTGTCCCATCTGCTGGCTGTCACTTTCCCTGAACTTCCTGGCCCCTTCCTCTTGTTCAAGTGGGGGTGTTGCTCTGCCTCTAGCTCCACTGTGGTCCTAGGGTTGGAGGGAGTGGCTTCTGCAAGTGAGAAAGACAGAAGAGCACCCCGAATCAAGATGGTCCAAGTTTTGCTCTCTGCTCGTTCAGTCTGGATCCACAAACTGTCCCTTTAAAGGCTTCAGTTTGCCCACATGCAATGCTAGGGCTCTGCACAACATTTTGGAAATCATTAAAATGACTATCCAGGGCTGGAGAGATGGCAAGAGCACTGGCTGCTCCTACAGAGGACCTGAGCTCAATTCCCAGCATCTACGTGGCAGCTCACAAACATCTGTACCTTCAGTTTCAAGGGATCTAATGATCTTTTCTGGCCTCTGTGGGCACAACCCATGCACATGGTACATAGACATACATGCAGGCAAAATACCCACATATATCAAATAAGTTACAAACAATTTAGATGATTAGCCAGAGGGGTCCCCCTTGCTCAGGAAAGGTCTTATTGTGTAGCTCAGGTTAGTTTCAAAATCAAGATTTTATTGTCTCTGTGTTAGAATTACAGGTGTAAACAGACTACCATGCCTGGTTCGAAAGGGTTTCTCCTTCCTTCTTTATGCTCTTGTGCCCACGTCTGGTAAGGACCACCATTTATGCTCCCAAGTATCTCCCAGTGTTAACATTACTTTGAGGATAGGTAATATTCTCCTTTTCCCCCCAGATGTCTCAAGTTTCCCAGGAGATACATCCCAGGGGTATGACTTAGAAGTAGAGCACTTGTCTAGCATGTGTGAGGCACCATGTTCCATCCCTAGCACTGATGTGCAAGGAAGGAAGGCTCCTTGGCAGGTAGTAGACATCTGGGAGTTGAATACCCAGGTTTCTAGCACAGTTCACCAAGCCACAAGCCTTGGGTAGCCAAAGACACTCTTCTCTCTAGAGAGTTTAAAGGATGGGATCAAAGAAGAAAGTGCTTTGTTGAAGATCAAAGGAGAAAGTGCCCTCCTCAGCCAGACAACACATGTGTATGCCCCTTCCTCTCCCACTCTTCGAAATCACATTGTCTGAGACTTTTAGGATGTTGAAGGTATCTAAAAATAGTGTCCTGCTTCAAGTGCAATTAAGGTGAAGAAGGCAGAGTTTTCTAGAGAATGTATAACTCACTGAGTATCTCCCCTCCCAGGCTCCCCTGTGGCCTTCTATGCCAGTTCTTCAGAAGCAGCAACTGCTCTGCAGATGGTGAAGTTCAACGCCACATCCATCAATGTGGGCAGCAGCTACTTCCCCGAACACGGCTACTTCCGAGCCCCCAAACGTGGTGTCTACTTGTTTGCAGTGAGCATTACATTCGGCCCAGGCCCAGGCATGGGGCAGCTGGTGTTTGAAGGCCATCGCCGGGTTCCAGTCTACAGTACAGAACAGAGGGGTGGGAACACAGCCACTACTTTCGCTATGGTAGAGCTGCAAAAGGGTGAAAGAGTGTGGTTTGAGTTGATCCAAGGATCGGTAGCAAAGGGGAGCCAACCACACACTGCATTCGGGGGCTTCCTGATATTCAAGACCTGAACCCTGGGCTCAGCTTTCGTCAGAAATGACAGACTTGCCTGCTGTCTGTAGACTGAGGCTCTGGCCAGCAATGGCTGGAGAACACATAGTGGCCCAGCTCTTTCCTGAACGCCTTCTGCAGAGATCCTTCTTTTGGACACACAGGTTGGGAAAGGCCAAGAATGCGGCTCCCTGAACTGCGCCCGCCCGTGCAGGCACCTGGAGTGGGAGCTGGGCTTCTTATGCCTTCCCCAATGGTGTGGCTTGTCTTGGCTCTAAGCCACTCCCTCAATTCCACAGGTTATTTGTCGGTTTATTTTGGCATTTTGCTCCTTCTGTGGTTGGAAACTTCTGTACATTTTTTTTTTTTGTTTTGTTTTTATTTCTTCTTCTCTATGTCAGGAAGTCATTGTTTCCCAGGAGGAATGTTTACAGTGATGGCGACTGGCCAGGTGTAGCTCATTGAGCTGTTAACATGTACAAGGCCTTGGATTCTCTTTCCAATACCTCAAAAGACTTGAAGGAAAAGAATAGTTTTTTTCCTTTCTAAAATTGGAAATTAATCTCTAATTACTATAGGGAAACTAGTTCAAAACAGCCTTTCTAGTCTCAGAAGGAAGTGAATGTGTGGCTGAATCAACTATAGGCAATGAAATGAGTATCTCTGGGCTGGGGATGCAGCTTAACTAGAATGCTCAAGACCTGGACTCAGTCCCCAACACTGTATAAACTGGGCATGGTGGTGCCTGTGATCTCAACACATGGGAAGAGGCAGGAGGACTAGAAGTTCAGGACCATTCTCAGTTTTATAAAAGTTCAAGGCTCAAAACAACAAAACAAGCTAATATTTTTTTAACTTTCAGTCTTTATGTCTACACTTAATTTTAATTTCACACCTTTTCCTCCCTGCTCACTCAGTGTAGAGGCCAAGAGATGTCAACCAGTGACAACACTGGGGATGGCCCTTGCCCCTTTCATTCTTCCACCATCGCGACTGGCCACACCCTCCCCAGCATCTCTGAGGAGGAAGGAGGGAAACGCTTTGGAATAAAACGATGTCCTCCAAAACTCTGCCTTGCTTACTGTTGAAGGAGAAACATTTGGTGAGGCATTTGGGGAAGTAGGACAAAATGAAACGGGGGCAAATGTGGCTCCCCATTCTAGGCATATTCGATTTTATTAATATTCAGTTAATTCTACATAGACTATCTAGAGGCCACCTCACTAGGCAGGGACAGTCAGTGGACAGGACAGTGCAGAATGGCAGCTCTCTCTGCAACATCTGCATGATGTTTACAAGTCTCTGGACCCTACTATAGGCTCAAGAAAGCAGCCAGCAGAAAACAAAGCAGGCTTTGGTAGCACTCAGTGTTCCTTGGAATATCTCCATATTAAATGGGATTTGACTTGGTAAGGGGTTGCCAGCACTTCTCATTGCTTACTGGGGTCCGCAGTTCAAATAATTGACCCTCAGAATTTACTTACTAAGCTTTGTGCACTCAATGTGCTCAGGTACCAGTGTCAGATAAACGGTAAGTCAGGCCACTGACTGTTTGATCATGGGCTAAACCACAATTCTTCTAAACATTAATCCACCCAGCGCTTTCAAATTCTGTGTTCTTGACCACATCTCTGAATCTTGTTCACCTCAGTGCAGCTCTGCTGTTGAGGCTATTTCTGAACTAGGGTATGTGTGGTTGGGCCACATAGACCAAAGCCTGGGGAGCCGTGTGTGTGGCAGATCACTCTTCTTGCCAGCAGACCTGGCTGTCTTGTGCTCCATGTTGCTGTCTCTGGCCAGTCCCTTCTGAGGACTAAGTTGGAATGTTAGGGCAATGCAGTCTCAGCACTAAAGACTTCCATTCAGGATTTCTGGCATATAATACAGTGTGAATCAGTTCCCCAAGAAAGGGTATGTGTTATTAACCCCCACAGGAAGGTAACAAATACAAAGCACTAGATGGTTGGGTCTTCTACGACCACTGCACGAGGCAGGATCTAGAGTGAGGAGAAATAGTGGTTCTTTTTAGCAAGAGGCTTTCTGTGCAATAAACACATCTGATTACATTTGACAAAGCCTTAACATCAAGTTTAAGCCAGATTTTCTGTTCAGACATTTCTGATTAAGACCCCAAATCAGTGAAAATTTTGTGTGTGAACACAAATATGCTTGTATAGGTGGGTGTAATGTTATGTGTTCACTTGGGTATGTGCATGTGTATGGGCCCTCAGGGGGCCAGAGGTTGACACCGGGTATCTCTCCCCCACACACATGGTTTCTCTGTGTAGCCCTAGCTGTCCTGGAACAAGCTTTGTAGACCAGACTGGCCTTGAACTCTTTGAGATTCACCTGCCCCTGCCTCCCAAGTGCTGGAACTAAAGGTGTATGCCACCACTACACTGTGTATCTTACTCAGTCACTCTGCACCTTAGTTTTTGAGGCAGGATCTCTCACTGGACCTGGAGCTCATCCATTTGGCTAGACTGCTTAGCAGTAAGTGTCTGCCTGTGTTCCCACCCCCAATGCTAGGATTACAGATACTCATTGCACCCAGCCTTTTACAGAGGTACCCAGGGGAACCAAATCTAGGCCCTCATGCTATCATGGGAGGCACTTTACCAAATGAACCCCCTACCCCAGCCCCAGGTCAATAAGAAATTCAAAATTATCATCTGTATTGAGATACCTGATGCTAGGTGAGAACTTTCCCAGACAGACAGGAAACTGACCTAGGGCAGGTTAAAACACATGTGGCCCTTGAAAAGACTATGAAAGAACACCAAAGCCACATCAATATAACTTAGTGATTCTTTGCAAAGATAGAAAAGATGTTATCAAATGAAATAGCAACATGGAATCCTAACCCTGAATATTAGGATTGCTGGAAAGCCTCAAGTTTAAGCTGTCCCAAATCACTTGGGAGTTCTGGGGCAGAAGAACTACAAAGTCAGTCCTAAGCCCATTACAGGACAGCTGCTGACCCTCTGGAGGCAAAGAGCTGAAACACGGGACAGCGATGACTTTATAGAGTTAAGATCACCATATCATGGCTAGATAATCAGTCTTTTACTCAAGGACACACACACTGGACTGACAGTCTCTCAAACTGAGCCAAAGTAAGCTTCTCTCAACAGATTCTATTCAGAATTTCTTAACAGAGTAGCTAATGCATTGTTTTACACTAACACGAAATGGGGAATCCAGCAAGGAAAGTGCAGGGGCTGAGTCTTAAGCATGCTGTTGAGTAACAAACCTAGCTCCCTAAAAGAGGGTGCAAATGGAATTTACTGCAAACTACTTGGCAGGTGGGAAATAAGGCATTGTGGGATAAAAGCAGACCACGCAGGGATTTCCTTCTCACTGCAGTGGGAACACTGTAAGGACACATCAAATGGAAGGAACAGCCTTGAAGAATATAACAGTGCAAATAAAATGTTTCATAACAGGACAATATCAAGAGCCTTAACTTTCCTTTCTCGCAAATAAAATTGTAATATACATACCTGTATTTAGGATCTAATAGAAAATAGGGCTCATGTACAATAGCGCTCAATGTGTGTTTCTGTGTGGGGGCTGAAGATACAGCTCAGACAGGGCTAGTGTATACAAAGAGTTTGAGGCTAACCTGGGCTACAAGCAAGATCTACTTTTATCCTCTTTCTGTAAAAATGGAAACAAAACCACAAAGAAAAAAAATTGAAATAAAAGGAGATCATACAAATAAGTTATTTCCTCTATGTGGCCACATGCTTGTTTTTGAAAGTTTTTTGTTTGTTTTTGTTTTGAGCCAAGGTCTGGTTATCCTGGAAATATGTAGACCAGGCTGGTCTTAAACACAGAGAATACACAAAGGCCACCATACCTTGCTTGAAAGTCAGCTTTTTTGTTGTTGTTTGAGAAGGCTTTCTCTGTAGCTTTGGAGCCTGTCCTGGAACTCACTTTGTAGATCAGGCTGGTCTCAAACTCACAGAGATCCACCTGCCTCTGTCTCCCGAGTGCTGGGATTAACAGTGTTACCACCACCCACACCCTATGATGTGTACCCACAGCTGCTACTACTTGGGAGGCACAGGATTGCTTGAGCTAAATTTAATAAGAGCATCTTTTGTGGGAGTAGAAAGTGCCTCTATGTCCCCAAGTGCTGTGTGGTTAAAGGTGTGCGTCGCCGCCATGCTCTGCCAATATATGGTGTTTTCACCTTACACACATTAGAATACCGTGATCTTAATGGTATTTACAAAAACACAGGAAATATTCAAATGTACATAGTGGGGCTGGAGAGATGGCTCAGCAGTTAAGAGCACTGGCTGCTCTCCCAGAGGTCCTCAGTTCAATTCCCAGCAATCACATGGTGGCTCACAACTATCAATAGTGGGATCTGATGCCCTCTTTGGCATAAAATCAATAGAGCACTCATACATATAAATAAATACGTCTTAAAGAAAAAGACAATCAAATGTAAATAGCGGTGTCTGTCAATAAAATGGAGTAGTTTATTTGCTTCTTTATTCTTTCCTGTTTCCCAAAGTTCTGTCATAAATACACATTTTTATAACCAGGAAACAATGTTTTATTTTTTATAGAAGGAAAAATATCCCCTCACTATAGTAGGTTCATCATCTCTACATAAAGGCAAAAACGTATGGCTACTTACCTAGCCAAGTTCCGTGCGGGGTTTCTGGAAGCTGAAATGCATGTTCAGGAACGTATATATGTACACTGATTTACTTATTATAAAATCTCAACAGATGACTTCTGATACACAATAAATCCAAGAACAGCATCACAAAACACATCAATGAATTATACTAAAATAAGGTTATTTACTGAAAAATGATACATTGGACATAATCTGTATATAGAACAAAGCAATTAATGGTAAACTTAATAAGGCACCTTTCAAATCAGATGCTGTACAAAATACATTTAGTGTTACATATCAAAGATGAATCCATATTTTAGGTGTTTTACAATTGCATAATAAAAATGCTTCCTTTAACCTGTCAATGCCTTATGTACAGTTTCCCTAAGCTATAATATTTTCATTTTATACAATATATACTACATTTTAGCTTTTAAGTGGGAAGAACAAAGGTCACTAAAGAGCTTAAATAATTCCACTGAAAGAGTGCAGAGTACAACCTAAAATTACAGTATCATGTCTAATTCTTTGCAAAAGCCATATTCATAAGCTTTCCTTATGGGATAGTCCTTCCTGTGGATTCATACACTGCACCAGAGGAACAAGTCCTGCTTGCCTAGTCTCCACCCCTCTCACAGTCAGAAGGTGAGCAAACTGTCACTGCTTAGCATCTGACTCAGTCTGTTTTTGTTATTAAAAGGGCTACATAACCTTTCTTTCTACATGAAATAAATACACTTCTGTTGAAATCATCTTAGACATCTGGAAACATTTCAAAACAATACACATCTGGAAAGACAAGTGTTTTCACTAAGGAAATCTGCCCTGGAATAGACTACTCAATATCCAAATTGATCTTGGGCCAAATCAGAGATGAATGGTTCTTGGAAAATTACTGTCTTTTTATTCTAAATAAGAAAAACATCTAAAGAAAAAAGTATTGACTATCATTAGAGTGAATGAATAAAACCCAGCACATTTCAAGACAATAGCTGATAAAAGCTCGGTCACTTTATAGGATTAGGAACATTTCTGAATAACATAACATCATGCTGACTAAAGTATCTTTTGTTACAGTATTTCCAGGAAAATCGGTTCTAATTTTATAAGAGAAGCACCGGAGAATCAAGATGGGGAAATTTTAACATGCCCTGTACCCCAGCAACTCCCACTCATACAAACCACTCATGGCATCTTCCTGGATCATTTGATATTTACTTAGGTAGCTTGGGTTTGGTTTTTATATTTTAATGATTTAAAGGAATGGCTAATGTTAGCTGTATTTTTTAAACCCTAGATTCAAAGTGGGACCAAATGAGTTTGCAGATTTTTACAAGTAATTAATAAACAATACTTTATTTTACCAGTTGGTTGTATTATTATTATTATTTTTGTTTTTATTACATTTGTGTTTGAATACGCGGAGTGCATGATGAGTGTGCTGGGGTGGGTGCCACGGAGTATGTGGATGTCAGAGGACAATCATGGGGTAGTTGGTTCTCTCCTTTCACATGTGTCCCAGAGATTAAAGTGCAGCTGGCAGGCTTGGCAACAAGTGCCTTTACCCACTGAGCCTTCTCATTGGCCCTAAGGGCTAGTATTTAAATATTTCACTTACAGAATTTCAAATTTTAAAGTAAGAGGGGAGAGAGGAAAAAAATAAGTTTAAGCAACTTTAGATTTTAGGATTCCAAGTAAGTAAGCATTTGCCTTTTAAAGAATGTTACTATTTCTAATGAGTGTACTGAAATGTAGTTTGGGAAGGCAGCAACTGGAGTACTCATTGCCTATCTTACCATTACTTCCTGATAGCCCTTTTTCTTAGATCAAGCTAATTAGAAAACAATCATTACAGTGGCCTTAACACACCAGTTAAGCATGTCTAAGAATGAAGCATGCCATTTTTTAGGGTTATCATCAAGATGATAAATGCTTTTTAAGATTTAGTTTATTCAGGCAAAAATGTATCCAGGTTAAAATGGCTTAGGTAACTCAGATGTCCTATGTGTTCTCAGACTTTGGTTATACTAGATGAAACTCATTAAACAAAACAGTCAAAACAAGTTTCAAATTTGTGAAATAGGATGTGCAGGCATTATAGTAAGTGAGTAGATGGACAGCCTCCTATTTAATTTAAAATGTCTGACTATGTTGTAATATAATCACCTTTAATTTATGTTTCATCCAAAGAGACAATGTCACTTGATCCTCTCATGGCTTGTTTGCTCAGAATAAACATTTAAGTAGTAGGATATCAGCATGTAAGTTTGAACCAGAACTGTTCTTTGAGAGAACAAGGACTCTATAAAAACCAGATTATTTTATTTAATAATAGCTGTTCAGTGTAAATATGGGCAGTGACCAGATACTGGGCACTTCTGCCTGAATCTCTGTCTTCACAAGTTAGGGACCAGAAACTATAAAACCAAATGTCAAAATTTTTAGATATCTAAAATACATTTACCAGTTACTGACAAATTTACATTAGCTGACATCCTTTGTAAAAGAATAATGAGGCAATATCTTAATGAAGTTTTTCACTGAAGTTTTTAAATGCATGAATTCTGAAATTCATACATAGTTCTACTTTAAAACATTCTCCCCCATTAAGGATCAGATGTAAGATCCATGTAAGCTGTTTTGCATAGAGTTAAGTATGTACGTATGTAAAATATGGCTATAAAGATGGTTATGTAGGTTTGAAAATAAAACACATTACACATGACAAACAACTTCCCTTTTTAAGAGGCACTGAGAGCAAAGACTTCAGAATTTGATCACAGACATACACATCATTATCAGACACAGTAAGGCTGACTCCAGAAAGGGGCATTTCCTTTCAAAGTATGGCTCAAAGCAGTGAGTTTCAACTCTGGACAGGAGGTGTTTCATAAAAAAATAATTACCAAAAAAGAAGCCAGAATGGTGAGAGAAGGAAAACAGTCCAAATTTATGGACTCTTTAAACTTATTTGGCCTTTACAACTATTTTGTTAAAAATAAAGTTGATGGAGGAGTTACTACACTTACAAGGTAGATGACTTTTATGATATTGGTGAATGTTGACCAGATATTGCATGTTTAAACCACCGGCCACAAAACCTTCCTGAGCAACCATACATTCTTTTCTTCTAAGCCCATGGCAGCAGATGAGTTCTGGTGTGCATATCAAAGGCATGGTGCACCATCATGAACCAGGCAGTATCCCAAAGAGATCACAATCTATAGGCCATTTACAAAGACAAACAAACAGATGTTTCCTCTTATAGAAGGCAAATGTCTCTCTCCATCTCTGCTGAACTCATTAGTTCTCTTAAGGCTTTCATAGAAAGCATCATTTTATGGACAGGACACTGAGTACCCAGAGTTAGACCAGAGGCTTCTTACAGGATTAGAGTCTTGATGCAGTTCATAAAAACAAAATCAAAAAACAGGGCATCAAAACCACATTTAAAACAAAGCTGTCCCGTCCATATGTAAAAAGAATGGTGTTTGGCGTCCCAGTCTTGTATTCTGCAGAGTACTGAAAAGGTCACTGTTAGCAGCCTGTGAAGATGTGGCAGGAAAGAGTCTGAAAAATCAAGCCAACATCCTATTTTCCATGCTAATCACCCATTTTCTTGGGTGAAGTTCTTGCGGTCTATATTCTCCCTCACAACTGTTTAACTGTCAAATCTTTACATCCTGGGATTCAACCATTTTTGCAAGTGTCTTCTTGATTCTCAAAGCTGTGAGTCTGGAGGCTGGATTATGGGCCCAGCATTCCGACATTAGCTTCAAAACTGCCCGAAGACACTAAAGAGAAATGTAAAGAAAGTGTGATGAGCATAGAGTAGTACGGCATTCATTGAGCACTGCACAGGGGTTTGGCTCCAACTTACTTCGTCACTGTTCCAGCGGTTAGACACAATTGGCCGCAAGCGTTTGACACACACAACCTCACGCATATCTTCATAGGATGGGTCACTAGGCACCATGTTGTAATATGGTAATTGATATTCCTCCACTATTCCTATAGAGAAAACAAGTGAGCAAAAACATGGTAGTGCAATACACAGCACTGAACTATGGAACTAAGAATGGATTCGTATAATAAACAAGAAATATACCATGGATGGTTCTCTTTTAACAGTAAATACATGTTTTTCTATTACTTATGACCCATATTTCCCCTAATTCTGACAGGATAGCTGTCTGTCAACAATGGTATATTGTTTCTTTTGGGGGTAGGACACTTGAGATCAGAGACAACAGGACTGTGATTTGAAGCCAGCCTGGGCTACACATAATGAAATTCTTAAACACAAAGGGAAGGGGAAGAAATAAGATTTTCTTGAAATTTTTAGTGTAGCATCTATTTACTTGTCTGTTCCTACTATTGAATGACTTTATTACTCTCTACTGCAAGAGAAAGACTAATCATTATCTGTGTACAAGCTCACAAAGCAGGCCCGCTACTGCTCTCATTAAAAAGGATAACCCTTGCCTCTTGTCTGGGAACCTGAAATAGTGAGTCATTCTCAACAGAGGTCATCACCTCCCAGGGGTTAGTAGTTCAGACTAACACCACAGCAAGCTTCTGATAACAGTCAATAGATGAGAGAGACTGAACTTCTTGGGATGACAATACCACACAGTCACAGCTGACTGAGGAGGAGCTAAACACGTGTATGAATACACTAGGGAGGGCTACTGGAGCCTCTCTCAGCACCTTTCCCCTTGGATGACTTTAAGGCATCTTTACACTGAAATGTGTGTGAGCAGACAAGACAACTTTGTGCGAGTCCTAAGGTGATTCTAGGGAAACCACAGGATCTGAGAGTGGTCCTTGGAAACCTTGACATAGGTGACATATGAATTAAGTAATTACTTTTAAAACGACAGATAAACAAAAATAATCAAAACCACTGTTCAAACTCCTACCTCCTGTAATGCAACGACGAGCCATTTCCCAAATGATTAAGCCAAAGCTATAGATGTCAGCCATAATGTAGGGCTGGAAGTGGTTTTTATTCAGGCTTTCATCCAGCACTTCAGGAGCCATGTAGCGCTTGGTGCCCACCCTGGTATTCAAGGGTATGTCAACTTCATTCGTATCACTAAGACAGGAGGAAGACAATGGTGATATTGAAGGCGAACAATAGTTCAATCTGTACATTTTTATAAATATAGACTTTATATGCTGTCTATTACATAGCATCCCTAGCAGGGTACCATGTTTGCCACCATCACTAACTCTGACTTTTCACACTAAACTGGATCAACACAAGTACCTTTCATAAATTTGGCCAAGGATCTGTCACCAAGGAAGTTCTGCATTTCTTAGAAAGTAACAACACAGGTCTACAGGGTGGCACAGTTGGTACAATGCTTATCTGCCTAGTATACAGGAGATCCTCGGTCCCATCCCCAATACCACATAAACACAGCACGGTGATCCAGGTCTATAATCCTAACACTAAGCACCAAGGAAGTAGGGGCAGGATGATCAAAAATTCAAGGTCATCCTTGGCTAAACGGCTGGTTCCAGTCCAACTTGGGCTACATGTGACCTTGTCTTAAGAAAAAAGGTAGGGGTATGTGTGTGTGTGTGTGTGTATGAGAATGACAGATAATTACATTTGAAGAGTGAATATGAAAATAAAGGAGGAACCATTTACTGTTACCATTCCATATACAGAGAGAAAGAGGGGGGGGAGGAGTTGCTGTGATAAACTTGACAGTGTGTCTGATATGCCTTTAGTACTCATGGGAGGAATGTGGAAGAGTTTAGATTTGCATGCTAGAGAAGCCTGTGAATGGTGACAGCAGAGCTTACTGGGCCGTTCTGATAGGAATCTGGAAAACCAGAATGCTAAGTGAAATGTACAAAGTGGAGGCCTGGTTCATGATGCTTTAGGGAACAAGGACTCTACTGAGAACCAGGTGAAAGGCTAGTTATGTTCTACCTTGGCAAGAATAGGGCTGAAATCTTCCTAGGTCCTGAAAACTCATGCAAGGATGAATTAAAAACAACGAAGGGCTGGAGAGACAGCTCAGCTGTTAAAAGCACAGCGTTTTCCAGAGGACCTGAGTTTAATTTCCTGCACCCACAGCTCACAATCACCCAGGAGACTGACACCCTCTTCTGGCCTCTGCCAGAACTGTATGCATGTGGTACACAGCTTACTCACACATGCAAAATATTTATACACATATAAATAAAAAACTAAATCTGGGTGTGGTGGCACACATTTTTTATGCCAGCACTAGGGAAGCAGAGGCAGGCAGCTCTGAGTTCGAGCTCAGCCTGGTCTACAGAGTCAATTCCAGGTCAACTAGGTCTACACAGAGAAACCAAACTCAAAAAACAACCCCCCCCAAGACAATGAACTGATTTTTTTTAAAGATCCATTTTATTTGTGTTCGTGTGTGTGTGTGTGTGTGTGTGTGTGTGTGTGTGTGTAGGTATCTGCAGAAGGCAGAGAGGGCAGTGGATCCCCTGGACCTGGAGTTATAGGTGATTGTGGGCCTCTCTCTAACCCCAAGAACTAAGTTGTTTGATAGAGGAAACCTGAAGACAGCATGACATTCTAACTGTTCATGTGTTGCGAAGAGCACATGTGTGGAGGTCAGAGGACAACTTGCAGGAATCAGTTCTTTCCTTCACCATTTGGATTCCAGGGATGGAACCACCGTCAGGCTTGGTGGCAAGTACCTTTACCCACTCAGCCATGTCACTGTACCTTACTTATTTTTTAAAGGAGTTCACCATTACATACAATAAACAATATGAAGTTAGGTAACATTCCAATACTTCAAAATTATTTTCCTGACTTCTGCTGAACAAATACAAACACAAAGAAAAGCAAACTCTATATAGAAAGAATGAGTTGGGTTTTAAAAAATATATAGGTCAATAATTTACACTATGACATTTTTTTTGCTCACTCATTTATGGCAACCAAGTCCTAAACTGCCAAGGTGCCTAATCATACGATTACATTTCTGTGAACCATCTTTACTACTCCACAAGTCATAACCTTTTAGTATACTGATTTGAACTTTGTGTAAAGGACTGGCTCGCTGAAGTTTTGCTTAGGTTAATTAAAACCAGTCTAGTTTCTTTAAGTCAGGGAGCTATTAACAATGATAAAACTTTGTCTTTCATAGATTGTGCAAATAAATTATCACATACATGACACTATATGTAATGTATATGTTCATGAATTTAATATTCCCAACCAAAATTTGCAATTAACTACAATTAACTATTAACACTACACAATTATCTATCTAATTAGAAAAGTAAGGTTTCAGGAAAATTTATTTAACTGTGCTTCTACAGAGAGGAGTCTTCCCAGTTTGAGCTGCCAAGGCACAGGCAGGCCAATACAGCTGTGGCAGAAAGGGGCCAGGCTTACTAAGTGAAAGGAGAGCAGAAGAATTCATTGGAATCACCATGTGCGTCAGCAAACATAGAAATGCAGAAGTCATATGACCATGGAGACTTTATCAAGGTTCTTCAAAAGAGTATGCAGCAGGTTTAATTCCCTAAAATAAGAGATCTCGGACTATGAAGGTCCACTGAGGAAAAGCTGCAAGTATGAATAGAGTCAGTTCAAAGAGAGTGCCCACATTTACTGCAGGGAGCAAAACAGGATGGATGAGGCTATCCACATTCACTGGAGCCCAAACGGTGCCATCACAAATGTTAGGTACCAGACATGGAGCTGCAGGGCCAAGTGGTTGTTCCAGGTTTCAGTCTTGCTTTGCTCTAGTTTCTTTGCTGTGTGCATTTTTTTCCTTTTGGAATGGAAATGTTTATTCTGTGACATAGTACACTGGAAATATCTGCCTTAATTTTGATCTCATAAAAAGCTAACAGTTAAGGCACTGCTCCAAGCATGTGAGAAAGTCCAATTTTGAGCTTTTGTTATTGTTGCTTTATATGGTTTTGTTTGTTTTAGACAGCAGACAGACAGAGACAGAGACAGAGACAGACAGAGAGAGAGAGAGAGAGAGAGAGAGAGAGAGAGAGAGAGAGAGAGAGAATGTTTTAAGTCAAGGTCTCTCTATTATGTAGCCCTGGCTGTTCTGGAACTCACTATGTAGAGCAGAGAATTCACATGCCTCTGCCTTCTGAGCGCTGAGATTAGAGGTGTGTACCAGCACACCTTGCAACATTAGAACTATTAAGGCCTTAGGGCCTCTTACAGAGAGCTAAATTCATTTTGCATGAATGTCGGTAATCAAGGGTGGAATATTATGGCTTAAATGTCATGAGTCTGGGTGTCACATTGGCAAGAAGCAGACCTATGGTGCTTAACTGTCTATGTAAATGGATTTGGGATCTTAAATTTAAGACACACAATTTTGGTGTGTCTTTGCAATTAGTCCCAAAGGTTTCAGTAAGGATGTGGGCAGTACCAACTGGAGCCCAGACTGAAAACAAGGGAAAATTCAAAACAAGCCCAGTATCTGCTTTTGACTTCATGCAATGACATGAGGCACTGTTGTAGCTTCCCGTCAATATGTCCTCCCTGCCATGATGAACTGACAGCACCCTTAAACCACCAGGCACATTAAACCTTTTCTTCCTTTTTTTTTTTTTTTTTTAATATTTATTATTTTACATGTCGATCCCAGTTACCCACCCACCCACCCCTCCCTCCCTCTCTCCTTCCCTCCCTCCCTTTTACCCTCTCTGCCTTCTCACATACAAACCTTATCTTCCTTTAGTTGCTTTTTGTTAGGTATTTTGTCTTAGTAAACAGGGGAAAAAAAAAAAAAAAAACCCACAACATCTGATGAATACTAAAGCCAACAAATACCACACTGGTGAAGAACACAGGTTAGTGGTGCTTGCTTTAGCAGCACATATACTAAAATTGGAACAAACCAGATTAGCATGGCCTTGCACAAAGATGAGAAAGTCATGAAGCATTAAAAAAAGGATAAGAAAATGCCAGGCAGGTAGTAGTGCACGCCTTTAATCCCAGCACTCGGGAGGCAGAGGTGGGTGACTGAGTTCTCAGTACAAGGCCAACCTGGTCTACAGAGCAAGTTCCAGGATAGTCAGGGCCACACAGTGAAAATGTGTCTCAAAATAAATAAATAAACAAACAACAACAAGAATACAGTATTAATGATCAGATAAATGGATTTAGGTGGCCCACACAATTTCAACTACTACTACCATCCCCCCATCCACCCAAAAAGTCACATGCCTTTAATTCCAGAACTGGCTGAGGCCAGTGGATCTCTGAGAGTTCAAGGTCAGTCTGGTTCACAAAGAGTTTCAGACCAGCCAGGGTGACACAGTGAGTCCTTGCCTCAAAACAAGCAACAACAAAAACTCATTTATTATTATTTGTATGAATGGGTGCCTGCATAAGTTTATGTGCACCAAATGAGTACAGGTGTCCACAGAGGCCAGAGTCCCCAATCTGGAGTTACAGGTTGTTGTGACTGGAGTTATAGGTAGTTGTAAGAAGTCTGGTGTGGGTGCTAGGAACCAAACTAAGATCCTTGAAGAGCAGTAGTGCTCTTAACTGCTAATCATCTCTTCAGTCTCTTAAACAATATTTTTATTTTGTGGCCTTAAATGAATTCTGAAACGTGAAACACCCATTCTATTCTTAAACTATGTTATAATATAGTGTAGCTGCTTCAACAGTTACCTGATTTTGGAGTTGGGGGGAGGGAAGGTTGAGATAAGGTGTAACTCTGGCTATTCTGGAACTTGCTCTGTAGTCTGCCTCTGCCTCCCAAGTGCTGGGATTAAAGACATTTGCCACCCTTGCCTGTCTCCTGAAATTTTTATAATTCTAATTGATTTGGAAAACTGACAATATCAAAAGAAGCTAATTATCTCCCCATATTTACAGGAGTATAAAATCCACACACTATACTGTTCTGAAGCAGTAATACATGCCACAAGTTAATATGTGGAAACTCCTCCAGTATCCTCCCTTCTCTAGAAATCCATTATGAAGAAAATAATTATGCAAGTGTTGAAGAGTAGAATAATATGTATAAATGTATAAAATTCAGTAATGTTCATGATAACCTTCCTTCCATTCTTTTTTTGATAGAGTTTCTCTGTGTATCCCTGGCTGTCTTGGTACTCACTCTGTAGACTAGGCTGGCCTTGAACTCAGAACTCAAGAGACCCACCAGCATCTACCTCCAGACTACTGGGATTAAAGGCATGCTCCACTACCACCCGGTTTCACGGTAACCTTTAATAAAAATGAACTGAAAGCAAACTTAATGCTCATTATTTGGGTTACAAGTTACTTATAAGAGAAATGGACAACTAACTGAAAAAAAGAGGAAGTTAAAAAGTATGTAGAGTCTGGAGATGTGACTTAGTAGCAAGAGTGTGCTTAGCATACATAGGATCCTGGGTTCAATTCCCAATAATCCCCAGAAAAGTATTGTGAAATGCAGTTTTGTAAAAAGAAAAACAAAAACAAACCCCAAAGCAACCATGAGTATAAATATGGTTAGATAACAAAATAGTTTCCAAATATCAAACAAGAAATCACTCACCTGTTGAATTTAACAGCCAGGCCCAGGTCAGCAATACAGCAACTCCCATTTTTCTTAATAAGAATGTTTTTGCTCTTCAGGTCTCGATGTGCGATGGCAGGCTTTCCTTGGGTGCCATAAATTTCTGTGTGGAGGTGGCACAGACCACAGGCAGCAGAATAAGCTAATTTGAGTAGGGCTCTGGTGTCCAGTGTGGCACATTTCAGGAAGTCATAGAGAGATCCATTTTCATGGTAATCAGTAATCAAATACAGCTGAGTCCAAGAGCCAGTGCCTTTAATGTCTGCAGCTATAAAACCTGTTTAGTGAGTGAGTTGAAAAGGTTAGCTGTCGGCAGAGGTGCTAAGCAGTTATAATGCACATTCAGGATACTGGAAAGAACTACTTGTTTTGTACAGACAGAAATTGTACAAATTTCCTCTAATTTGACCTGTAAAATGTTTTGAATATGTAAACCCCCCCCAAAAAAAATCATTTCCTATGTCACTATACATTGTAGAGTCATTACAGATTGACAATAAATTTACAGTATTTTAAAATTTACATGTTATGTGTGTTTGTGGAGGAAAAAGACAGGAAGGAGAGTGTCAGATCTCTTACAGCCAGAGCTGCCTAATGTGGGTGTTAAGAATGGAACTCAGGTCCTCTGCAAGAACAGTATGCATTCTGAGCTACTGAGCCATCTCTCCAGTCCAAATTTACAGTATTTTGTTTGTTTGTTTTGCAAAACAAGATTTCTCTATGTAGCTTTGGAGCCTAACCTGGCACATGCTCTGTAGACCAGCCTGACCTTGAACTCAGAGAGTTCCCCCAGCCTCCCAAGTGCTGCAATTAAAGGCATGTGCCACCACTGCCCAACTATCTTTAGAGTATTTTTAAAGACAAGGTTTTGCTATGTAGTCCAGGCTATATTTAAACTTGTGATCATCCTGACTCAGCCTCTTGAGTGCTGAGATTGTATGCATATGCCAACACATACAGCTAGTTTATGATAATCCTAACTTTAATCACAACAGTGATAATAATGACTAAGAAAAAGAAGTCATGTGTTACACAATAACCTGCAAGTATTATTTACCTACATGACTTTCTGTTGAACTGGCTCTTTACCTGGGAGTGGCAGCACATGCTTGTAATTCCAGCATTCAGGAGACAGAGGCGAGAGGACTACACAAATTGAAGCTACCAAGGCTACAGAATAAGAGTCTGTCTAAAGACAACAAAAACAAATGAACACCTAAAATAAAAGTTTTTAATTTCAAGTTGAAAAGTAGATACTTAAAAGTTACATGGGAAACGAAGCCATGCATGGTACAGACTGGGCCCAAATAAGCTCATGTGTGTTCTTTATGATGGAACTGTGGTCACAACACACATAGAAGATTGTATGAAATACAGAAAGGAGAGCTGTCTGCTGTGGATTATTAGCTGAAGATGTGTTGGTTGCATTCTTTTATGTTGTATTTGTTTAACTCTGTGAAGCTGTGTTACTTTGCCTGCCTAAAACAAGTGGTCTAATAAAGAGCTGAAAGGCCAATAGCTAGGCAGGAGAGGGATAGGTGGGGTTGTCAGGCAGAGAGAATAAATAGGAGGAGAAATCTGGGAAGGGAAGATCAAGGAGTAAGAAAAAGGAGGAGGGAAGGACATTGGGGGCCAGTCACTCAACTACACATCAAGCCATGGAGTAAGAAATAAAGAAAGGTATACAGAAACAGAAAGGTATAGAGAAATAGAGAAACGTGAAAGCCCAGAGGCAAAAGATAGATGAGATAATTTAACAAAAGCTGGCTAGAAAAAAGCCAAACTAAGGTTGAGCATTCATATGTAATAATAAGTCTGCATCTGTTTATTTGGGAGCTGAGTGGCAGGCCCTGACAGCAGTGTAATTTTAAAGTTCTGGACACTGAAACGGAGGGGATAATCAGTTGTCCTCCTTCTGTGTGCACAGATACTTGTGAATGTCTTTGGAGGTCAGGGGAAGGCCTTAGACATTGTGTTGTTCCTCCTTCGTCTTACTGTCCCAGAACTTTGACAGGCAGCTGGTCAGAGTGCTCCAAGGATCCACCACTCTCCACCTTCCATACCTCACTATCACTGTGATTATAAGCTTGAACTCTATCACACTTAGCTCTTTAAGTGGCTTCAACAAGTGAGCCATCTTTCCATCCTGCTTCTGGTAGTTATTTTCTTTTTCTTTTTTGAGGAAGGGTTTTAGAGATAAGGTGTAGCCCTGGTTGTCCTGGAACTTGCTCTGAAACCCATCAGCTTCTGTTTGGGATTAAAGGCTTGGGCCACCACACCTGGCCATACTTCTGGTGTTTTAAATCACTCAGTTCATGGTAATCTTTTATAGCCCTAATAGGAAATGGACATAAATGTCTTGTGCTTGGCAATGGGCAATGTAATTTACAAAACAGATAGTGAGATAGCAGCTGAAGAGCAAACTCTACTGGTCAGATAGCTACATTACTTCACTATATAAATGAGATGGTGAGAGGATCTTATGGTGGGTACAGAAAACACAATGATGCTACACATTGGGTTCTTCTGCTGACAAAAAGTAAAGGCAGATACAGTTAGAAGTTACCCTAGGAAAAACACTGAGGTTCTCTACAAAAGGCTGGGCTTCCATTATTATGTACGTTCAATAAACCAGCTTTAATTACCCTTTTGAAACTCAATGCTGTTTAGAGTAATAAAAAAGCTTTCTTGGCATTCAGGATTGTGTTCTAGTTCAATATGAACTGTACTGGATTTCTTTCAGCTACACAAACATTTGAATCCACACGCACAAGGCAGGTTCTCCCCGTATGAAAACACCCCTGGCAGAATGAAGAACTTACTAAATTGAAGGACACTCACCAAGTATATTTTCATGACGCATCAACACCGTCTGGTAGATTTCTGTTTCTCTAAACCAACTAGCTTCTTCTGTGGTGAAAAACACTTTGACCGCCACTTTTTCGCCACGCCATTTACCCATCCACACTTCTCCATAACGGCCTTTACCAACCTGTCGAACCATCTGAATCTGTTTGGCAATAGTTCGCTGAACCTACACAGGAAAGAAAGAAAAAGTGCAGTTTTGAGCTCTGGTTGAAAACAATCTATCAAGGCTGACTAAGCTGTGATAGGTCATCCCATTAAAAAGGCTGGCATATCCAAAAAGCACCAATGCAAACATACTAACTCCAATGTTTAAATTACAGTATCTAAAAGCAGCAGACTTGGATTTTGGTTACTTGACTTCTTTCGGGCAATAATAGAATAACAAATGAGTAACAGATGATTGTGTGCCTCAGTTTGCCTTTTCTCTTCTGCTCCCATAGAGAGAAGTACCATGTCAACTGTCAATCCTATGCACAAACTATACAGCCTATCAATAGCTGAGCAAGTTCAGAAAACACACTTCCCAATACACTCATAATCATGGGAAATAATAAATGTTTTTGGCTGCCAGCCACTGAGTTTGGGATGATTTATAAGATCTAAATAATTAAACCCCTCCGCTCAGTCTCTAAGATCTAACCCAGCCCTGGTTTTCACTATTTACCTACATTTCCCTTATTCCAAGTTTTCTTTTTTTAATTTAATTTTGTGTTTTTTTGAGACAGGGTCTTTCTGTATTACTTTGGAGCCTGTCCTTGAACTAGCTCTAATTCAATTTTTTAAATATAGCATATTTTGCTCATTCTTTCCCTTTCCCAAATTCCTCCCTGATCCTTTTTTTGGTTAGAGGTGGGATTATGTGTCTAATTCTCCTTCTCAGTCCAGGGATTTTGCCTTGTTTGAAGCTGTGCATGCTATCATAGTTTCTGAGTTCCTATGTGGACTGGTCCTGTTGAATCTGAAAATGTTTCTGTGAAGTTGTGTACCGCTTCTGGCTCTTATATGCTATTCTGGTTGGAAGTATATATCTGAAGCTGGAGCTATGCAAAGCTGAATGGGTTACATCCTAAATCACTTAGTGTAATGTTTTAAAGTCAAGATTATTCAAGAATAATTTATTTGTAAAATAAAATGTACATTTTGAAAATTTTAATAAATGCCTAGTCATCTAATTAGCACTTGGGGCGGGGGAGGAGGGAAGGCAAGCAGATCTAGTCTACAGGGCTAGTTCCAGGGCAGGCTCCAAAGTAATACAGAAAGACCCTGTCTCAAAAAAACAACCCCCCCCCCCCCCCCCCCCAAAAAAAAAAAAAAAAAAAAAGAAAAGAAAAAAGAAAGAAAAGGAGGAAAAAAAAAAAAAAAAAAACAGATTTAAGATTTCCATTGCCCAAAGCCATCACTCCTTTCATGATTAATTCCTGCAACCTGTGCTGGAATTACTTACCTGTTTTATCTTTTCTGATTTATATAAATAGACACACTATGTAGTTTTCTGTACCTGGCTTTTTTCCCTAAGCATAAAGTGCCTTTGAAATTCATCTCTGTTGTTACTGATTTGTTTCTCCACATGGATCAATGTGTTATAATTTATTTATCCATTTGCCAACTGGGGGGGCTTTTACACTATTTCTAATTTACTTATTTATTAGGCTATATTTGCTATGGGAATTAACCTTTGGGTCTTTTGTGTAAACACATTTTTTGTATTTCTAGGGCAAAAAGCAAAAGAATTGTTTTATTATACACACCTTTAATCCAAGCACTTGAGAGGCAGAGGCAAACAGATCTCTGAGTTTGAGGCTAACCTGGTCTACAGATAGAGTTCCAGGACAGCCAGGGCGAAACTCTCTCAAAAAACCAAAATAAATAAACATTAAAAAAAGAAGTATATGCTTAACCTGTTTGTAAACTCTCAACTGTTTTTCAAAATGCCTTATCATTTTCCTTTTAATCAACAATGTATACAATTTCAAGTTAATCTATACCCCAGTAGTACCCTGGTGAATTTAACCTGCATACCCTTCATGATGAAGATGTATCTATTTATTTGTCATTTTTAATTTTTAGAAAAGTATCTATTTAAATCTTTTGTCCACAATATATCTGGGCTATCTTATTATGGAGCTGTTAAGTTTCTTTGTAATTTATGTATTTATCAGATCTATTTCACTAGCCTAACTCATCTTTGGATTTTTATCCTATTTTCTTGTTGTCATTTTGGTTTTGGGAACAGGATTTCCCTGTGCAGCCCTGGCTGTCCTTAAACTCACAATGATTTCTTTAAAAATTCTTTTGGAAGTTTTTCTAGTTTAAGCTTTACATTTTGATCTACCTTCCATTTTAACTTAATTTTGTATAATGAGTGAGGTATAGGAACACATTCATCTTATAGCAAATGAATAACTGAGATTTTCTTTCCTGCATCATCTCTTTAATAGACAACTTATTCAACACTGAATTACTTCAGTACTTTAAACAAATAATGGCCTCACATAACCTTTTATAATGAAGTCTTTTAAAAATTCATTGAACACCCATGCAGCAAGGCTTTAATCCCACACCTGGGAGGCAGAGGCAGGTAGATCTTTGTGAATTAATGGCTAGCCTACTCTACAGAGTGAGTTCCAGGACAGCCAGGGCTACACAGAGAAACCCTATCTCAAAAATCAGGAAAAAAAAAATTCAATTGAGCAGGGTATAGTGGGACACACCTTTACTCCTAGGATTCCCAGGCATAGGTACAAAAAACAAAATCAATTGATTGGGTTGGAGAGATGCCTCAGTGGTTAAAGGCACTGGGTACTCTTCTAAAGAGCTTGCGTTCAATTCCCAGCATCTAAGGGAAGCTCACAACAATCTGTAACTCTAGTTTCAGGGGATCGGACACCCTCTTCTGTCCTCTTTGAGTACCAGGCACGTATAGTGGTACACAGATATCCATGCACATAAACCTTTGCCTAAGTATTTATTAGACAAATACACAGTGCTAACTAGTGCAGGTCTGTAAATAAGTTCAGAAGCAGCGTAGTTAGTCCTGAGCTCTCTTTTCAAACAACTCTGATCAACCAATCACTTCTATTTTTATAAATCTGTTCATCTATTTTGTAGAAGTTTGCTCTGATTTCTACTTGGATTGAAATGAAATAACCTTTCAATGTGAGGCAACCTGACACATAAACAGACTCCTCCATTTATTAAGGACTTAAGAATATATAAGAATTAGTATTTAACTCACCAATTCTCCTACTACAATAAATGTTTCATTCATAAACAGGCTACACACCCCTATCTATTTAGGTCTTAAGAATATTTAAGAATTAATATTTAATCTCAATGATTCTCCTACTAGAATAAATGCTTCATCCTGTTCCAAATCATGGATGTACTGACCTCTGCTTGAGATGCTATTACAGTAATGTCTTTAAAAAAGTAGAAAATAATCTACCTTAAAAATTCTTAAGCACAATTAGTATTCCAGTATTGGAATTAATATTCCAATTATTGGAATAGTATTGGAGTTAATATTCCAACAATAATTTTTGGTGTACAATTTTTGCAACTGACATATTTTTGCTAAATATTTCATGATTTTGACACTATTTTAAATACTATTTTCTTAACTTTCAACTCCCAAACATGTGTTGCCAATGCATATAAAATCAGTAAAATTGAAATAATAGCTTTGTAATCTGCAAACTGACAAGAATTGGTTGCAATAGGTTTATTCATACCAATCTTGGGATTTTGTTTCAGAATCATACTATCTCACATTTCCAATGACGACAGATTACATTAGACAAATTTTTAAATTGTCATTCAGTATTTACTTTCAACCAATGCTATTAAACATTTAAAAACCTACCTGGAAATATAGTGTTGTGATTAGGAGAGTTGCCTCAGAATGCTGTTTTCCATTCCTGAAGCTAATTATATCCATCCATCCATCTGAATTATTTGTAACCCTTTTTAGACCTAAACGTTATACTTCCCTCAGCCAATAGGTTTAACATTAAAGATACAAGGGATCTTACACTTGTTTCTTTATTTTGCTGGTTACTAAAATACCTAGAACACCTAGCTGAGGATGGTGGCTCATGTCTGTAATCCCAGCATTTAGGAGTAGGCTCAGGAGCAGGAGCAGAGGCAAAAAGATCTCAAGTTCAAGGGCAGCCTGAATTCTATAAGAAGTCCTTATCTCAAAAAATCAAGTAATGAGAATGTAGTTTAGTAGTAGAATGCTTGCCTGGCATCCCAAAAAATCTTGGCTCAAACTCCTGCACCAAAGTAGAGGGGAGAGGGGGTTTAGAGCAAACTATGTAGCTACCTTGCACTTGCATAGGACTTCATATCCTAACTTTTTATGTACGTATTAGACTTTTTGTTGTTGTTATTTATGGCTTTATCTTACTTACCTTATTTTCCTTGGTTCACATTTCTTATTTTTAAGCAATTTTATCTTTCATTACTACATGATATTGCTTCCTAATCTGCAATAACTAAGATGCTCACTTACCTATGATGTCAAATCTAATCAATACACCATTTATATTTGTAAAAAGCTCTTAGCTTACCAATAAAGGTAGTCCAGATCCACTACCAGAGCTTTGTGACTGGTCAATCAGGTCTTTTAAAGATTCTCCTACTGGAATAAATGCTTCATCCTGTTCCAAATCACGGTTGTAACGACCTCTGCTTGAGATGCTCTTACAGTAATGTCTTTAAAAAAGCAGAAACAATCTACATTAAAATTGGAACACTGCAACGCTCTGAGCCTTGAGCCTTGCCACACCATCATTCCTTCAGGCACAATTATAACCTAATCAATCCTCACAGAAAACATCCTGTTATAGTCCACTAGAAATGGGGTTTAAGAGAGAGAGTGCCAAGTGTCACACTAACATGAAGAGATGGCAAGTGAACACACACACACACACACACACACACAGACAGCAGAGCATGGTGGCATATATCTGTAACCCTGCACTTGGGAGGCAGAAGGAATGGAAGTTTAAGGCAGCTTGGGCTACAGAGACAGGCTTGGACTATGAAGTGAGGCCTTGTCTCAAAAATACGAACACACACACCCTCCCCCCATGCTAGAGTCCTGATATAGTGATATAGTAGCACTAAGAAAGAGTCAGGCAAGAGGATCCTGGATTCAAGGCCAGCCTGGGCTACCCTATCCCTATCCCCAAAACCAAAGGTAAACAAAACCCTCAAACATCCCCCTCCCCCAGCATGTAACATGGCACCATAGCTGTAAAAAGTTTTTAAATTATAAACTTTAACAATGTCTTTATCTAAAAGGATACCCAGCATAGAAAGTTACTTATCACTTATATCTACAAACATACATACCCTTAAAACTGTAATTGTATCTTTGCACTAACTGTGTATGCCCTAATCCTAGCATTTGAGAGGTATGGGGAGGTTGAGTTCAATGAATTCAAGGCCACCTAGGTCTACATAACAAGCTCTAGGACAGCCATGCTGTAATCTGCCCTTTTCCAGTTGCATTCGGGTTTTTTTCCTTTGGTGCTAGAAAGATGGTTAAGATCATGGGCTACTCTTCCACAGGACATGGGTTCAAATCCCAGCAGTTACTTGGTGGCTAGCATCCCTTTTGGCCTCCAAGGATACTGCACACATGTAGCACACAGACATACATGAAGGCAGGGCATCCATACACATAAAACAAAAATAAGAAAATTAAGAAAAAACTTATTTATCACTAATTTTGAGCAATATGACTATGATGCGATTTATATTTTTTTCTTCATATTTTCTAGCATCTTTAAGTTACTAAAATAAGTTTCTGATTAAAACTCTCTGGTCATTATTTCTTAAACATTTTTCTTCTTGTCCATTCCTCTCCACTGAGGATTCTGATTGTAAGTGTATTGGATCGTGTCTCATACAAAACTCTCTCAGAGCTGAGGAAACAATGTGTAAAGTGATTGCCATGCAAGTGTGAGGACCCAAGTTCAAATCCTCAGAAAATACACAAACTTGAGTGCATGCAATTCCAGTGTTCCAACATGGAAATGGGAGGCAGAGACAGCAGAATGCCAGGAATCTCATTGGCCAGCAGCTTGCTATGTGCAGCATGGAACAAGAGACATTGTCTCCCATAAGGTAGATGGCAGGAACTTTTCTACACACATGCTGCAGCAAATGTACACAAATTCTGTCTCAGATTGTACTCTCATGCCTCCATGGCCACTTAGCTCTCAAGCATTTTTCTTACCCGATTCAAAAAAAAAAAAAAAAACAAAAAACCCAAGTATTGCTTTTTTGTTTGTTTACATAGCCCACGCTGGTGCTGAACCCATTATAGAATTGAGGATGACCTTAAACTCCTAATCCTCTTGTTTCCATCACTTGAGTGTAGGAATAGCATGTATTCTTACAAATATTACTATTGTTATTTCTTCCCAGAATAAAACTGAAAAGAGAATGAACCCCCATATTTCTTTTTGTTTAAAGACAGGCCCTCACTATATAGAACAGCCAGCCTCGAACTCAAGAGATCCACCAGCTTCTGCCTCCTGAGTGTTGGAATTTAAGTATGCTCCACTATATCCAGTTGGGTCTTGTTTTGTTTTCTGAACTTCTCTGTGTAGCTTGAGTCTGTCCTGGAACTCATTCTATAGACCAGGCTGTCCTTGAACTCACGGCGATCTAATTGCCTTTGCCTCCTGAGTGCTGGAATTAAAGGTGTGCTCCACCACTGTCCAGACTGGTTGGTAAACTAGCTTATTTTTGTTTCGAAAAAGGATCTCATTCAGTAGCTCAGGCTGGCCTGGAAGGAACTATGTAGTTCAGACTGATTTGCTCAATCTGCTATTTTTATCTACAGGAAAGAAAAAATTATAAAACGCAAGAGACTAGGGTGATGATGCTGTCTCAAAAACCAGTGGAGAGCGACTCATGTGCACTTGTGGCAGGTGCGCACGCGTGCGCAGACACACACACACACACACACTATGAATATATAGTTCTAATTTAATCTGGTTCAAATTAATTTACATGTAAGGAATAGTTCCAGTTTCATTTTTCAGTATCAAATCTATTTATTGAATTTTTCTTTTCCTCTTTTTTTTAAAATAAAATGTATTTGTATGTCATTGCTGCGAACAGAACCCAAGCCCTCCTGTCATCAGACACGTGCTCCACCGCTGAGCCACATTGCAGCCTCCTCCCTCCAGGTTCTTAATTTGACAGCTTCATCATGCTATAAAATTCTTTGTGTTCAGATTTATTTATGGGATTACTAACCTGTTTCACAGATATCCACCCCCCACCAACTTTTAAACTAGACAGCTTTAAAAATTCAGACACAACAAAGCTCCTTATTCTCTAAGCAAGAAAGTCACGAGTGCTCTTGAACATAAAAGAATGAAATAATATCCAAAAAATTAATTGGAGTTAAGCTCCTCTTTCCTTCTAGGGAAGTCATAGCACAGCTGAAAAGGTGTAACCAGAGAATATAACTTAATGATTTTTTGAATTGCACACAGCAGTGTGTGTTTTTTTAACCTGTTAATTTAAAAACAAAGATTGCTAATACAGATTAACAAGATATTTTATATAAAAATAAGTGTCTTCTTACTTGTAACAAAAGCAGCTGGAGAAGATGATCATAGCAATTATACAGACAGCCATGGAAATGAGCACAACCAGCCATCGAATGCTGCCATCAAAAAATGGACCTGAGAATAAAAGTAAACAATGAAGCAAATATAGCATCTTTCTGCTGCATCTTACAAAGATGGAGAGAATAATTTACAGCACTGAGTTCTAGGTAGCTTAGTTATTGTTAACGAAAAAAGAAGTTACAGAGAATTGTGCCTGAACTTTTCTGGGCTGACCTACCTATAACCACAGGGGGCAGTGTAGGCTGCAAATACTGGTTGCACAAATTGGTCCGACAACATTCTATTGTCCGGCGTAGCTGGGCTTTTGGTGAATCCTTTAAGAAAAGTAATGGTAAAATTAAAGGGCTTCATATTTTAAGTTGAGTATGGATATCTTTAGTAACAGCATATAAAATTTTATTCAGAGTTCCAGACTAATGTGGTTTGATCAAGCCAGACCACCTGAAACAGAGTACCAAGTGATCCTACATTCAAAACAGCTGGACAAAAAAGCAGCCTGACAGACTACAGCCAGGATTTCTGAATCTTCTTCGAATCCCCCATGACAGCGCCCCTTATCAGCAGGAAGTAGTTTGGAAAGAACAACGCCCAAATTCCCAAATATTGTCTATAAATGTTTGTTTTCATTTAAATGGACTTGGTTATATATAAAAAAAAAAAAAAAAAAAAAAAAAAAAAAAGATTGTTGGACTAAAAAAAAAAAAAAAAAAAAAAAAATTTATTCAGAGAAAAGTATCTCCAAACCTTATGTTAAAAAAAATATTTGCCAGGGGTGGGGGCTCACATCTTTAATCCCAGCACCTGGGAACTTAGGAAGTGGAAGGAGGAAGCAGGAGGATCTCTGAATTTGAGACCAGTTTGATTTACAGATGGAGTTCCAGGACAGTCAAGGCTTTTACACAGAGAAACACTGTTTTGAAAAGCAAAAGCAATAACAAAGATATTACTGAAAATTTACATCTTTTTGTGAAAACAAGGCTATGGGATAATCTCCCTTAAGATCATATAGGTAGATAAGGATACTAAATTATAAAGGAACAAAGAATTTTAGTGATTTTTTTTTTTTTACCTTAAATGTTGGTATATTTAAATTACCGTTCAGCTAGCTACTTTTAGTTTTAAGAAGTAATTATCTGCTGGAAAACATAGTATTTTATTAGAATCATAAATTTGTCTAAAAAATTCAATCATAGTAGTAATAAGATCTAGGTGAGATTAAGATCAGACTACAAAGTAGAGGGTTTTCTAGTCAAATTGGGGTTGGGGTGCTGGTTAAGGAAGGTGGTTATGAACCACTAACCAGATAGAAAGTATGCCAGCCCTAAAACATCAGAAAGTAAGTAAAGGCTTTAGTCACAGGAGCAGATTATTAGCAGATATGTTGACAATTCAGCATAGCCTAGATGAAATGCATTCTGAATCAAAATATTAATAGAAAGAGCCTGTTTGTTTAACCATGTTATTCAACATCAGATGGCCAGAATGGAAATCACCCAGTGTATTCAGGAGTTACTTTTAAAAAAAAGTGACCAAGAATTTGTGGCTTGAAATTCCATCTGAGAAGACAGTCAATAACATTTAGAAACTTCCAAATGAATAAATTCTATATTTTAACTAAATTTTTTATTTTTAAGATATTTTTCCTTTGAAGTTATCATAAAGAGAAAAGAGATATGATAGGGTTTATAATGCAACCTTTAAAATAATCCTTTATCTAGAGAAAATTAGCATGGAGGAAAGAATGATTGCATAACTGAAGATGAATAACTGAAGTGCCAAGTAGTCAGTTCCAGGAAGGCTAAATGAGAGCTTTGTGAAGGACATCTTTGGCAACCTTGGGTGAAAAGTCTCTAAACCATGGATTATTGCCCATTAATAGCACATAATGGAAGAGGAAGACCAAGCTCCAATCCCTCTTTTGTCTGTTTTCTCTATCAAGGATGGCTACAAGAATAAAATCAGACTATACACCAGGCAACAGTAACTAATGTTCCAAGCCATGTAGATAGTCATGAGAGTTCATGCTTTCTAACTGGGGAGAGTTAGATGAAGTATGACACTGCAAAGACAGGTGTAAAACTTGTAAGATTCTGGAACAGTGAGTGCAGGAAACTAGCTGCACATCATGATTTCATTTTAGGAAAAGAAAGGTTTCCCAAGAGATCAAAGGCAGCATGGTATTAATAACAACAACAACAATAATAATAACCACCATAAGTTCTGCCTAGCTTTGCCAGTTACTCACTTTTTGACCATAAGTACCTAACATTTTAGTTTCCTTTGGAAACCACTGAATAAAAAGTTTTGACTTATAGAATAACCATGAGGCAACAAGAGGGCATGTGCCAAATACTCTGCAAACTATAAGCAAATAGAAAATATTCAATAAATTGATTTCTTCTTTCTTCCTCTGGTATGACATGAATTCTATAATCCAAAAATCCTTGGGCAGCTCTTCAAGAGCGTATAAACCTTTACCACAAAGAAGCAGTAAGTAGCACTCATCTTTCTTACACAGGTTAAGGACAGATTAGGGTTTTTTTTTTTTTTTTTTTTTTTTTAAGGCATTATCTAAATTTAGGAATGGGTGACACAGCTCTTCTTTCCTATACTCCTCCCCAACCCCCATTCTTGGCCCAACTTATTTTATCTACTTGTAGACTAAGGTAGGAAATAAATACCCTATGGTAGTGAGAGGGAGGGAAACCTGGAGACAAGCCTCAGCAGTTAAGAGCACTGGATACTCTTCCAGAACTCAGGTTCAACTCCTAGTACCCACATGGAGGTTCATAACCATCTGTAACTCAGTTCTAGGTGATCTGACACCCTCTTCTGGCCACCCTGGGCACCAGGCATAACACAGTGCACAGGCATACATGCAGGCAAAACATCTATACACATAAAAAACAAATACATTAATTAAAACCCCAAACAAGAATTTACTTGGCAGTTAGGAAATGGAAGAGTCTGGTTTAAGTAAACACTGTGTTTGGGCAGAAGACAGTACTCAGAATGCACTGAAGCCAAGTGACAAAGAGTGGGATGAGGGTTCTGGAGATAACTCCTCACACAAGATGACAAGAACAAGAAAGACAAAACCATACTAGTAGCAGGGAGGTAACAAGAATATGAAGCACAAGGGAATCATTTAAACATTTTTTTGACCTCTACCTAGCACTGAGACGAGGTCAAGAGTAAGATCAAGAAACTCGTCCTGAGGATCATGATAGTGATTGCATTGTTATAGTTTTATGTCAACCTTACACAAACTAAATAAAGTCATTTGAGAGGAGAGAACCTCAATTAGGAAAGTTCTCTAGAAGACTGTGGTGTAGGCAAGCCTGCAGGGCATTTTCTTAGTGATTGATGGGGTAAGGCACAGACCATGGTGAGTGATAACCATCCCTGGGCAGGTGGTCCTGGGTCCTATAAGAAAACTGGCTGAGCAAGCCATGAGGAGTAAGCCAGTAAGCAGCACCTCTCCATGGCCTCTGCATCAGCTTCTGTTCTGTTTGAGTTCCTGTCTTGGCTTCCTCCAATGATGGACTACAATGTGGAATCTTAAGTCAAATAAACCTTTTTCTTCCCAACTTGCTTTTTGGCCATAATGTTTTACTGAAGCAGTAATAACCCTAACTAAGTTAAGTGATACAAAAAAGAAAAAAAGTACTGGTTAGACTCCTTAAGTAAACTTACTTTTCACGTATGTTTTTTTTGTTTTTTGTTATGTATTTTTTGCCTGCCTCCCATCCTCCCTCCCTGGTTGCCTGCAACTCACAATGTAGAACAGGCTGGCCTCAACTCACAAATCTTGTCTCCTGAGTGCTGGGATTAATGGCATATGCTGCCAAACCCAGCTTAAGTTAAAATTTAAAAATAATACACTACTTGCATATTTTAGGGTGACAAGCTATAGTTTCCAACACAGATGTAAGCAGAACCAAGAAGGTATTAATGCATTCTGGCTCACTGTCCATGACGACACACAAAAACAGACCTGTTACAGCATTGCTTGGTTTACTAAGTAGAAAATAAACAATATAGCAAATTGATAACAATTAACATTTTTTAATTTTCTGTCTTGAAACAGGATCTGAGTATGTAAGCCTGGAGGGCCTCAAACTCAGAGATCTGCCTAAGTGCTAGGTTAAAAGGTGGGTGTCACCATGCCCAGAAAATTAACATAATTTAAAACATATAAATGAACAACTGCTTCTTTTAACAACTAGAAATTTTATGGTGGGACTCATTTCCCTATTTATGTATCAATAACCCACCCCACCCCTGAGACAGGGTTTCTCTGTGTAGCTTTGGAGCCTTCCTCAAACTTGTTTCATAGACCAGGCTGGCCTCAAACTCACAGAGCTCTGCCTACCTTTGGCCTCCTGGGTGCTGGGATTAAAGGAATGTGCTACCACCAACCACCACCACCAATGCATCAAAATATTTTTAGCAATTTATCCCATCAAAGTAAGTGTATTCAAATTTTACTTTATTATTTTTAATATATCACAATTATAGTAATATCTTTTACTATAACATTAACATAAAATGCATTTTTTCAAGACTTATTTACTTATTATATATACAGTGTTCTGCATGTATGTCTGCCTACAGTCCAAAAGAGGGCACCAGATCTCATTACAGATGGATGTGAGCCAACATATGGTTGCTAGGAATTAAACTCAGGACCTCTGGGAAGAGTAGCCAGTGCTCTTAAAAACTGAACCATCTCTCTAGCCCCAAGAAAATGCAGACAGGGTTTAAAAACTTGGTACTGATTTTCACAGAAAATACTTATTGCTATAATGATAATTTTATCATTAACTTCATTGCTATTGTTCTTGGTTCCTATGCCCCATTTTGGATCAGGAGTAAAATACTAATAAAGAAAACAGTTTGTTATATCAGCACTCCATTACTCTGTAAAGTCCTTCCAAAACATGTACTTAAAACATCAAAGCATTAAAAATTACCTTTGATAATCTTAACAATTTAAAGTAACAGCAGAGGAGTGTAATTATAGACAAGCCTGACAACCTGAGTTAGATGCCTGGTACCCACATGGTAGAAGGAGACAACAGATTCAACATGTGTCCTCTGACTTCCACACATATGCCATAATGCACACACTAAACTTACCAATAAATGCAAATCCAAAACCAAAACAAAAAACTAACTGCCACATAACATGCCAACATAACTGATATCCTCAGATCCCTTCTGCTAGTAGTTTCATGTCTAACCACAGTGCTATGAAGAATTGTCAGACTTTGACATGATTTGTTAATTAGAACAGTTAACTGTAGAAGGGAAGAAGAAAACGGGCTTGAGAAACTCTGTTAGGAAGATTACTTAACAAAACAAACTATGTGCCCAAGATCCTACTGTCTAATAGTCTGTGCATACCTGAGGACATGGGTGAGCTCACTATGCTGTAGGCATTAATATTTTCTTTGTTACCATGTTATCATTTGATAGTAAAATTCCTAAGAAAACAAGCTCCTTGCCCAAAGCCCTGAAGAAGAAGCATGAGTTTGGACAGATTGGTAAGCTTGAAAACTAATTCATACTAAGTTTGGGACCAGTTTATTCTAGAAGTCTATAGGATACTTGATAACACAGATTTAGCTCAGAACTTATAATCATTGCTCCTCCTTGAATTTTTAAAAAAGTGGTTTGACAGCATGTTGATGGCATAAAACTGGAAGAAACATCCTCTCAAATCTGAACAAATCTTAATGTTCATAGACAAATACAGGATAAGCAACAAAGCCATTCCATTCCCAACTACTTGTACCAAAGGACCAACCACCAACACTAGTGAAGAGTGGAGGAGGTGAGGCACAGAAGCACAGTAAGTCAAAGACAGGAGGGCTCAGCTGGCAAAAGTTCAATGTCCTGAGAATACAGCACAACTGCCAAAGTACATGCATCTGCTCAGAAAAAGAGAAAGGCGTGTTTGTTCTGCTTACGCCACACTTGAGTGTGCAACACACTGAAACACTAGAGTAAATAATGGAACTGATTATATAAGGGACAGCTGACACTATGAGTTTTTAGTATTTTTTTTTTTTCTTTTTCTTTTTCTCCAAGTGTGAGAAGATGTGTGGAGAAAGTAGTATGGAAACAATTCTGCCTGCATACTAAAGGTTATGATTTTAGGGAGAGATCAGGTCTGTTTGTACAACCAGAGACAGAGACGGGAAGAATCTCAGTCAGTGGCTTAGAGACTTCAAGTATAACCCTAACACTCAAATTTTCTATGAACACTGCCAGTTATTAATTTTTTGATATAGCTGGCACATATACTGTTCTATACAAAACTGTTTTTCAAAACCACTGGCAGGGTCTCCTAAGAAATTCACACGTACAAGCTAAAAAATTCTGAAGGAATTCTCTCTGCTGCTCTTTTCAAGTAGCTGCACAGAACCTTATATTAGTTGTCTTCTGCTTCTGTGATCAAACACCATGACCTAAGCAATTTACAGAGCAACGAGTTCACCTGGGTTAATAGACCTAGTGAGTTAAGAGTCCATCCATGATGGTAGAGCAGACATTGAAGCAGGAGCAGAGGCTAATGGCCCACATCTCAAATGGCAAGCAGAAAGCAGAGAGAGCAAACCAGCAGTAGGTGAGGTTTTATACCCTTAGTTTTTTAAGATGGGGTTTCTCTGTGTAGCTTTGGCTGTCATGGAACTCCTCTGTACACCAGGCTGGCCTTGAACTCAGAGATCAGATTTTACACTCTTTTTGTTTGTGTTTTGTTTTGTTTTTGAGACAGTGTCTCTGTGTGACAGCGCTAGTTCTATAGATTAGCCTCACTGCAAACTTAGAGATTCACATGCCTCTGCGTCCTGATTACTGGGATTAAAGGTGTGCCACCACTGCTGGGCAAGGTTTTATATTCTTAAAAGCCTGCCTCTAGTGACACCATTCCTCCAACAAGGTCACATGCCCTACACCCTCCCAAACAGTACAGGCAACTGAGGATTAAGCATTCAAACGCCTCATTCCAATCACCTCATACTAAAACAAGAATTTAACATTGCTGTCTCGTGGGGAAAAAAAGTTATTATCCATTACCTTAAAGTCTTTTCAGTAAATCTTGCACTCCAGAAATAAATGTGAGTATCATTTTTTGCATTAAACACAACTGGTGATGATTTAAAACTTTCTTAAAGTAAAGCAATCTGGAACTTTAGTTAGTAAAATCCTATTACTTGAAAAGTCCAGGCTTTCTTCAGAAAATGTTTTTGTGACCACAGTAGTGTGAAGAGCAGTCCACTTCTGCTAGAGAACTCTTTCATGAAGTTCTACCCTTCTTTATTTCATGGTTACAAATTAGATCTTACCTTGCATTGAAAATCAGAGCCTTCATACTTCATACACCCAGAAGCTAATGTGGTTTCCCCCTGATCATCTTCTTCTATAATGGCAAAGCAATGCCCATTAGTTCTACGATGAGGAAAAAAAAAAATACAATGTCATGTTAGACAGAACAGGATAGTACACATCCAGAATACTAGCATTCAGGAGACTAAAGCAAGAGGATCTTGAACTGCAGGTCACCCTGAGCTAAACAGAGATACTGTCTGATAAAAAAGGCCAGAGGGATGGCTCAGTGGGCACTGTCACCAAGCCGGAAGACCTAAGTTTGATTTCTAGTACCCAAATGGTGGAAAGAACTAATTCTGGCAAGTTGATATGTACACATGTTCTCAATACACATACATACCAATAAATAAATCTAAAAATTTTTAGAAGACATACAAAAGAACTGAAGATATGTGAGTTGAATATTAGCATCCAGTAACTTTTTTTCTAATTTAATTGAATTCTCTTATGATTACCAAAACCAATATAAATTTAAGCTAAATCAAAGGTAGTATGCTTGAACTAAGGCCTAACCTAAAGGGCCAATAAGGGTCAAATAGAAAAGAAGTTCTACTAAATAAATGTTCCACGTGTATGCTGTTATAGAACTGCTCCGCTAGCCACACTCATGATCTGAAGCTATATATACATGATAAAAGAGGAAAACAAGCTTTTCTGTGAAGCTTTCAGCAGACCCAATGACACGTGAAAGTATATTTGAGAAGAAAAGATAACTAAGATTCTGAAAGGTACTTGTAGTGAATGAGATAGGAAAGCAGAGAGAGACAGTCTGAATAGTCTCATTTTAAAGAAGTTTACAAAAATATATTTATGTTCCATGAAGTTTTATCACTTTAATGTCAGTATCCTTGAGCCTTTCCCTAAGCTAATGTAGGAAGGATAAATAATATAATTTCATAGACGAAGTTCTAGGAAATGTATCTAGTCTATTCAAAGAACACAGAATGTTAGGAACTATAAAACTTGGCCTTCATCTTCACTTCTAACACAAAGAGACAATGAATTGACTGATGGAGACTTTGTTTTTTTGTTTGTTTGGTTGGTTTCAGGTTTTTTTTTTTTTTTTTTTTTTTTTTTTTTTGTTGTTGTTGTTGTTGTTGTTGTTGTTTTTTGGTCCAGAAAGTAAATTCTTCAATGTGCCCCCAAGATATGGACTATAGGCTACATACAGGATGACTGAGTGTGTAGAAGTGCTTGCTGTCTAGACTGACAATCTGAGCTCTGTTCTTGGAACCGACATAGTAGAAGGAGAGGAAAGAAGAGATTTCTGCAAGTTGTCCTCTGATCTCTTCATGTACAACAATCTGCACACATATCATATACATATATAATACATACATTTTTGGAAATATGAACTCAAGTTTCATGACCATCTATGAGTGGACTGACTAAACATAAAACTAAGTAGAAAGTTAGCTAGGCAGTGTTAGTGCACACCTTTGATCCCAGCACTGTCTACAGAGCAAGTTCCAGTACAGCCAGAGCTGTTACACAGAGAAAACCTGTTTGGGGTTGGCTGGGGGTGGGGGTGGGGTTGGGGGTGGGCCCTGACACACGATGACTAAGTAGGAAATGCAATATATAAAGCAAATGTGGACCAGAAGTTCACAGAGAAATAACAAAACTATCACAATTGTTTAATGATAGATAACAATATTTCTGTATTCAAGCCAAGAATCCTTTCTTTCTTTGGAAAGATACCAAATACAAAGGGAGAAAAATTTTTGTAGAGTATGCTAACTCTTAAGAACTGAAGCAAATACTTACATGCATGTGTTATTAATAGCATCATCTGGACAGTGTCCTGAGCAATAGCACTTTAAGAAAGGTAAGGTATCTTCTGGGGCTAAAGTCACTCCATTTTCTGGCTTCTTCTGGTCCAAGTCTGATTTCATGCCAGTGCCATGGAGCATACTGTCTAGATTCTGCCCTGTATTAAAAAATAAAATTTGTAAACAATCATTCTTGAAGAGTTGTTTAATGAGTCATTAATGAAGAAAGCTTTTGAGTTTTCTTTTTATAATAATCCTATCACTCAGGAGGCAGCGGCAGGTGAATCTCTGTGAGGTCAAGACCAACCTGGTCTACAGCTCGAGTTCTAGGACAGGCTCCAAAACTACACAGAGAAACCAAAATTCTTCATATAATACCAATTTATAAACTATTATATACAGAACTGCTGAATATGGCAGAATGTATGGAGATGAGGCAAAACAGAGAAGTGTCTGGCTAAGAGCTAAGTACCAGTAAACACTTCTGAGGATATTAAATCCAGGACAGGTCCTTACTGTAAGTGCCCTTTAGTGTTTTCATATTTCTTCAAATAAGCTAGACTATTTGAAACAGCCAATTGGCCATTTGATTGACAACTGGCAGACCCCTCCCTGGTGCCTACTTGCCTTGAGTGAGGAACTGTCAAACACTATGACAGAACAGCTGTTTTGAACACTCCGGAGTTTCCTCTGAAGAAACTCCTCAGTATCTTCAGGGACCACTGGAACCATTGCTACTGCTCAAGTCACATCCCAGCTCTGGTGGCCCCATTCCTTACTACTGTTCCACACTCCTTTATCATGAAGGTATTCATAAAGGACTTAAAAAGTAAAAGAGCCAGTCCTAAGTTTTGAACCAAAATCAAAAGGAAGAGCCAGGAAGATGCTAAAAGTTCCACAGCAGCCAGAGGAGACTACAGAGACTCTGGACTCTGCAGACATACTGAGGAGGTAAGAAAGTATGAAAAACTAAGCTATGGATCCCAGGTAGCTCAGGAGCCTCGAAAACTTCCAAGATCTGATCTTAAGCTAGAAGTCTGCAATAATAGCTGCTGAGGACTAGTTTTCAAGGTTCAGAGCGTGCTCTGATCTGAGGACTGAAAGGAGTAAGCCTCTAATTTTCAAAGTCTGGACTCTGAAGTCTCCTTTGAAAACCTGACTCATAGGACTATGGCACTAAGGAGTACACAGCTGCCAACACTGAGGAATCTGCTCTCCCGCATTTGTGATACCCATGCAATGGGATCTCATCTGCTGTGTGTGACAGCTGCAATTCACTAGGTACAAAATGGGGAGAGACTTCCTAAAGGCTAATAAACTGTCCAATGATTTCGGGGTCAGAGGATGCACAGGGCAATTCCTTTTTTTTTTTTTTTGTTTTTGTTTTTGTTTTTTGTTTTGTTGTTGTTGTTGTTGTTCAAAGCCTTGTAACTAGATTTTTAACAAAATCATCTTCGAACACTTTGGTGGAAAGGGAGCTACTAAGCACCTTACAGAGAACTCTAATTGATAAGTAAAGGAACTGTGAAAACATGAAATAAATCTTGTTATCTACCTTATATCCCAGGGTAACTGGTTAGAATCCAGACCATGCTATCAAAAAGTGAAAGTTGCCAAAGGCTTATGTAATAAAATCAGGATCTTGCATTATAGAGAGTATGGCCTCAAATGGCAGGTAATAACACATACAGCACTGCATTTTTCAGGCCCTTCCAAAAGAAGAGTGGCAAAGCCAAAAGAACTAGATTAGTATGAATTTTACTGTAAAAATGAAGTGGTTCAGTATTGTAAACTCAATTTTAAATTTACTAACACTGATAAACTACTAAAATGTTAGGGTCGGTGGAGATGGGAACAGGAGAGAACAGATGTGGGGGGGGGGGGTTGAGGGCAAGTACTGAGAGAGATGACTAGAACGGGGGTGGGGGTTGGCATTTCAAGAGTGAGGTAAAAACCTAGTGCAGTGGAAACTCCCAGGCATCTATGAGGGTGAACCTAGCTAGTAATGGGGGGGGGGGGGGAGGTTGACGTGGAGCCTGAACAAGACGTCCAGTGGAGGGACTGAGACACCAACCCAGCCACAAAAGTTTTGACCTACAGTTTGTCCTGCCTTCAAGATGTGCTGGGGTAAGGATGGCACAGAAATTGTGGGAGTGGACAACCAATGACTGGTCCAGCTTGAGATTCATGCCATAAGAGGAGTTCAAGCCTAACACTGCTTAGAGGGCCAGGATCTGGAGGCTGGATAATTGAGAGACCTAGGAAAGAACCAAATTCAACTGGCCAAAAAAAAGTCAATGAAATTATCCCAATGATACTCTGTTATACTTATAGACCAGAGTCTAACATAATCATCAGCAGAGAGGCTTCATTCAGCAACTGATGGGAACAGATAGATGCAGAGACCCATAGCCAAATTAGGCAAGCTTAAGGAATCCTTCGAAAGACAGAGAGGGAAGGATTGTAGAAGCCAGAGGGGCCAAGGACACCACAAGAAAACAGCCCACAGAATCAACTAAGCAGGGCTCATGGAGACTGAATTAGCAGAGTGCTTATACGTATCTGACCTAGGTCTTGTGTGTGTATGTTATGGTTATATAGCTTGGTGTTCTTGTGGGATTCCAAACAGTGTGAGTTGGGTATCTCTGACTCTTCTGCCTACTTTTGGGACCTTTTTCTCCTACTGGGTTACTTCATCCAGCCTTAATGAATGGATGTTCCTAGTCTTATTGTAAGTTGTTATGCCATTTTTGGTTGATATCTGAGATGGGCTACTCTTTTATTATGAAAGGAAAGGAGGAAGATGGAATTTAGGGAATGGAGAGGTGGGAATTGAACTAGGAGGAGAAGGAGGGAAAACTTCGGTTGGGATGCAATACAATACATGAGAGAATTAAGAAAAAAAAAAAGACAAAGAAAAAAAGTTGTATATATTACACTATCTATATGACCTGAATAGCTCCCCCCAAAAAAAACATCAAAATTTCCATTATTAATAGCACAATTAATTTAGTTTCACAATCATAGCAACTCTGGATGACAGTGACCAGCAAAATTTAACAGAAAGGACCGGGTGTTGGTGGCACACGCCTTTAATACCAGCACTCGGGAGGCAGAGGCAGGTGGATCTCTGTGAGTTTGAGGTCAGCCTGGTCTACAGAGCTAGTTCCAGGACAGGCTCCAAAGCAATACAGAGAAACCCTGTCTCAGCAAAAAAAAAAAAAAACAAACAAACAAAAAACAAAACAAAAAAGCCTCAACATGTATTATACTATGTATTCCCATATTTCAAATAAAAGTAGCTTGAACTGAAGGGGCTCTGTGTTCTCAGCAAAGCAATAAGACAAATACAAAAAAACTATAGATTTCATTTTATGCTCATGCACTAACACAGAACTTTTTAAAAGCTTTATGCTGTTACCTAAATTTCTTCATGTGGATAAATAACCCTCATCATTCAGAACTATATGTGAAATTGCAAATTACGAAGCCAAAGCCTTAGGAAAACGAAGATGGCAGCTCAGGGGCTAGGACAGTGAGAAGCCAGTCTAGCCAATTATCAAGCTCCAACTTTAGTCAGAGACCCTTTCTCAGATGCACAATGGGTGGGAAGACTCAATGCCAACACTGGTCTCCACATGTAGGGGCACACTTTCATGCACAAACACTAACACATACAAAAATTTAATAAATTCTAAAGAAGAAAATGAAGATAGTGGTGAGTTCTATCTCAAAGACTTTTATAAAGCAATTTTAACTTTTCAGCTCAAAAATACTGCCCTAAATAAACAACTGGGAAGAAATTTGTATACAAATACAGTTCATCTGATCTTAGACATCACTATTAAGTTCCAGTTTCATCTATGAACACATAGTATACATCAGAGGTCACAAATAAATTGCTTATACTCTATAGAGAAATTTTAGAGCTCTGCATAAGCGAACAAGTACATCTATTTTCTAAAATCTCATGACAATAAAACAAATTTTGAATTATTATTTGTGCTTATTCTTTATTGCATTTTAAAAGAGACAGGAATTTTAAAGCTCAGTCTCAAATACCTATTGTTCTGTGTTTTAGGTCCTAAATTGCAGACTATTTATACTTATTCTCATCTGATCCTCACAAGACAAACCTCATGCTACATATTTTGCCTGTTATACATAGAAAAAGGCTAAGACTTTAAAAAGGTATCAGTCTATACAAAGTTCACAATTTCTTCTGGTGTGTTCTTTGCTTCTTCACTAAGAGTTGTGCTGGTGTGGCTGATAGCTGACAGCAGACCAAGGAGTTTAAGTGCTTTATATGCATAGAAATGACTTACTGAAACAAGCATCAATTTACCTTGAACACGAGAAATGATGAACAGACAGGCTCCCAATAATCTGATGTAAGTATATAGCTGAGTCATTGTTCAATGTCCAAGTATCCTGTACACTGCCACTTTGAATTACTGGTCGTGCTATTTCACTAATTTAAATGGCTTCACTGAATGAGATTTCCTTATAGAAGAAAGAAATCACTTGACAATGACTTTCACCTGGGGCTTCTTCAGATTCCTGGGGGGGAAAAAAACAAACAAATAAATAAGGCAATGAATATAATGTAATTTGGAAAGTTTTCAAGAGTGGAAAGGAAAGCAAGCCTCTTAACCAGGCTTTTAAATGCAGAAATATATTTTTAGAAGTTTTGGTGTGTATTGGGGGCCAACTCTAGGACCTTGCACATACTAAGAGTTTTATCACTGAGCTATACAGTCTCAACTTCGTTGAAATATATTTTTAAAGATTAAAGCTCTCATTTATTTTTTAATGCATTGTAATTATAAAGCCTAAATAATTTAGTAGAAAGTTGTAATCTCCTAATCTCAAATCAGCCACAATAAACACACTGAATCTCAACCAACTAGTGCAGTATTGTACACATTGAGTCCCCACTACTTGGGAAGCTGACAGTGCAGAGATTTCTTAAGTCTAGGAATTCTAAGAAAGCTGGGCAAGAGCAAGACAACCCCAGCTATAAAGAAAAGAAGGAAAGAAAGAACCCTCATCAACAGCTTTCTCTAGTTGCCCTGATGTAACTAAATTATTTACTACAGAAGTGAACATTTCTGCTAGGTATGGTTCGGTGATACATGCTTCTAACTCTAGCACTTGGGGGCTAGGGGCACAGAGGCAGAAAGATTATGAGTTCTAGCCAAACTGGGCTACAGAGCCTGACTCTGTTTCAGTTTACCCCACCACCACCACCCAAAACAGAAGCCTGTGGTGTCAGTGTATGCTGTTAATCCCAGAACTCAGAAAGCAAAGGAAGGTGGATCTCTGTGAGTTCCAGGCCAGCCTGGTCTACAGAATGAGTTCCAGGACAGAAAAGGCTACACAGAGAAACCCTGTCTTGAAAAACAAGCAAACAAACAAAAAAGAAAGTAGAAAAGAATTTAAAATAAAAGCTGTCTATCAATATTCATTTAAATCCTAATGAATAACAATATAAACACATTGAACATATAATTATTCCACAAATAGAAAATAAAGCCAACCTAGAAAATTTACATATTTAAATAAGTAGCATGCTTCTTTATTTATCAAAGCAAAAACAGAAACTATCTTTGAGGAGGGGAGCTGAATGCATAACCTTATGCTTGCTAAGCACATGCTCTAGAAAAATTAACTCTATCTCCAGACCCTAGAAATGTACCTTAAATAAAGCTATTCTTCTAAAATCTCCAAATCTGAATTCATTAAGATAAACCTGAGTTTTTAATACGGGAATCATGAAGTATAATCACTGCAATTTAGATTTGGTTCTTAGCCTTTAGTGCAAGCCTTTAGTCCCAGTACTCAAGAAGCAGAGGTAGGCTAGCCTAGCTACAAAGTGAGCTACCAAACAACAAACCCTGTCTTGAAAAACTAACAAAAGACCAACCAAACAACAATAAGATTTGGCTCTTATTAATATACAGTAAACTCTTAAAAACAAATGAAACAGAAACAGGTAATGGAAAAAATGCTACTTTGGACCAAAGTTAATATAACTCTTTTTTTTTTTTTTTTTTTTTTTTTTTGCCTATTCTATTGTTTCAGTCAGCTTGGTTTCATTAACTTAGGCCTAAACTACTTCTTAGTGAAAAGGTTTTTGCTTATTTATGACTTAATTATCCATAGTGTAATTTCTACCAGGTAATATGTAATAAACAATACTAAGTAATCTGTGCTTTCTACATTACCTACTGAACAATTTTTCGCTTTACAGTATTGTGGAAATACGGTATATACACAGGTATACATCTTATAACTGTTTTAAATCTAAGAGTTCTTTTGTATTGATTTGCTTTGGGGTTTTTTGTTTGTTTTTGAGGCAGGATCTTGCTATATAACTCTGACTGGTTTACAATTCTGGAACTTAGTGGTTTTCTTGTCTCAGTCCTCCAAATACTAGGATCATAGGCATACATCACCATGCCTTACCGGTTTACAAATCTCCACACATACAATCTCTTCCCAAACTTGTTCTTTCTTTGAACAAAATCTTATCTACCTGAGGCTGGCAATGAATTCACCAGATAGTCAAGGATGGTCTTGAACATATGATCCTCCTACCTCTCCCTCCTAAATACCTGGGGCTACAGGATTTTGCTACCACAAGTGCTTTAAATTTTAGTAATTCTTAAAAACTTCTCTACTACAAATGTGAACTGTTTCACAAACATATAACTGAGATAATATAAAGTCTAAAATTATTAGATGAAAATATTTGCAATGGGACAAAGCACCATGTGTATAAAGAACATCTCTCTTAACATGATTCAACTGTAATTCTAGGTATGCTTGTTGCTGGCTCCAAACTCAAAGAAAGTTTCCATATACTCCTAAATCCTGATCATTCCCTGTATTTCCATCTGCCAAGAACATGTCTAAGTCACTCATAGCCTTTTCCTTCCCACTCTATCAGATGCTATCAGAGTGAAAACAGCATCTCCCTTCCCCCAATACTAGGCCAAATCCTGGCCTCATTTTTTGCCTGCCTTGCTAACTCTCAGTTTTTGATTCTTTTATTCATTTATCAACATTTATAGAGTATGTATTATACACCATAGTAAAAAACTAGAAATACAAATAAAAGTATTCCAAATTCATTCTCTTATTATTTTCAAGACAGGGCTTCACTTTATAACCTAGGTTAGCCTCAACTATCTCCTGTCTCAGTTTCCAGGAAACATTACCATATCCAGCTCATGATTCTATCAACTTCTGCTTGAAGGAGCTCATAATCTTAGGTGGGGGCTCATCTCTGTGACTTGTTCTATTTCCTGTATTGGTTTCTTTATCAGTTTATGTAAAGGTGGCACTTGGGCTTTTACTGACTACTACCTGGTAGCCAGGCATCCTTATAGTACATGAGACCTTTAATGTACTTTCCATATCGTCATTTCAGAGAAAAGGGTCTATTGCAATATGGACACAAGTTCAAATTCTAGATATGCCTTAAACCAGTAACTTAAAAGTCTTTTGTCATGAGATATTCACTTTGTCTACATCTGTGGTATTGACTGTGCTCACTGGGGGTGGGGTCAGGGGCAGACATGACCTGGGGAAATTAGGTCTGGGGAAGGAGCCTCAGAGTGCCCTCTTGCTTTCAGGACAGGGACAGAGAGCATCCAGAGGCATCCTTGGGACCAGGAACCTGCTGGTATTCATCTGTCTCTGCTGTAAGTTATTTCTCCCTGAATAAACATCTATTCAGCCTATCTGTTTTTCCTGATCCTTATTAAACCACAATAGTCTCTGAAAAGTTTTACTTATCTTTACATAACCAAGGGTACTCACTGGCTCACAGCTATCCCAAGAACTAATTAGCACATTCATCTCTGTGCCAATACTATTAACAATGTTTTGTTAAAATTAATTTATAAAGTCCACACAACTGCCTCATAAGAAAGGTATAACTGAGGTGGGCTGAAGAGATTACACATGGAGACAGAGCTATAATTCAAAAGGTCTGGTTCTAGACTCCATTTATTAATTGCTATTTTATACATTATATTAATTATACTACATAATGTGAAATACACATTACATACTGTAAAGTACTTAGGATTATAGTGGCACAGTAGGTACTCAATAAATTTCTGTCTTCTCTAACATGTCTATGACATGATCTGGTAAAAATGAAGGCAGCACCAACTGAGAAATTCTTAATAGTTTAAAAACCTGCGATGACTATAAAGTCAATACATTAGTTGTACTAAGAACAATGCTAAGCTATGAAGTAATCTCCACAGGTATTAGTTGAAACATGCTGCTATAGCCACAGAAGGTAACTACAGGAATGTAAAGTACATAGAAAATATTCCATTTACATACAAATGGAGCCAAGGGGTCACAGAGTTTAAGAGGAACAGATAGCAGAAAAGAAGAGAATACTAATTCATTAGATTCCCCTCAAATTCTCAAGTCCTGTGTAAACAATGTTCTTGCCATTGGATATTATTCCCTAATTATTCATTAAGATATCATTTTATACATCAGCCTATGTATCAAACACCAAAAATATAGTCATGATAGAAAAACCCATCTTTCATGGGAGTTCATAGTCACTAAATGAGACAATCAAATGCTGACACAGGGGCCAGTCATAGCACAGTGGTAGAGCTATTTGTGGGAGACTCTGCATCTCAGGGGAAGAAGATAAAAGATGGAAATACTTTTGACACAGAACAAGATGAGAAAAAAAAATGTACACATAATTTCCACTAAGCTGCAAGGTAAGAAAAAAGTGAAACCCTGGATGGGCCAGATTTGTTCTGGATGGAAAAGTCCACATAAGTTATGCTGAGGAGTAATACTTATTGTGCTGTTTTGTGCAGATAAATATCAGTCAAACTAACAATCTGTGCAAAGATTTCTGAGAAACAGAAAAACAAGAAGCAATGCTTCTGAACCATGGAGAATACAGTAGTGTAATACAGAAGAGGTTGAAAAGACAGAAAGGACAAGGACTCTGAAAGATTCAGGTTTTAAATGTAAGAGAGATGGCATCAGTGACCTGGTTTTTGCATAATGAACTAGAAAAGACAAGAAAAGCTGAAGCAAAGCAACAGTAAGAAGACATGAAAATTAAGGAGAGACAATAGTGGTTAAGATCAGAGTGGATATAATTAAAAACAAGACTATATAGTACTTGGTAATGGTTGGATGCAGGGGTCAAGGAACATGACTCAAACTCTCATACTGCTGGTCTAAGCAATCACTAAAATGTGAATAAGCAGATTTTTGGACAGAGTGAAGAAAAAGGGCTCAAGGATTTAGACATCTGAGATTACTTGAAAAGGAATGTCTGCTGGGCATCTGCTTCTCAAGCTTAAAGGAAACATCTGGGACTGAAGATACAAATCTTCCATTATGTCAACAGCATAGAGATATTAAAAGCTAAGGCTCTTGGATGAAAGAGTCCCAGAGCACTGTTTAGTTAGAAACTGCACTAATGGCCAGGCATAATGGTGCATACCTATAATTTCAACACGGAAGGCCATGACAGAGTTAGAGATCAACACTGGCTACACAGTAAGAGCCTTATCTAAGCTCCTCCTCTAAGTCAAAGATCATTATCAAGGTCTGAAACATGTTCACAAACACTTTGATACATCCCTCAGAGGGTGAAGTCTAATTCCCCTCCCTTGACTAGACTAGGTGGCTCATTTCTAATAAGTAAGATGTAAACATGAGTGACTTTTGCTAGGTCATTAAAAAGTACTTCAGCTTCTACCTTGATGTACTCTTATGGAAGCCAGCAGCCAAGTCTAAGCATATTCAAGCAGTGCTACAAGGCTTATGTGGCAAGAAACAGGTTTTCCAATAACCACTTGAGTGAGCAACCCGGGGTGCCTTTAGGACTATGTTATTTGGATATTTTGCTCAAAATTTTGCTCAGAAAGACCCTGCATCTGGTGGGTTCTTTTCATTTGAGTGATCAATTTTTGAGAGGTCTTGATCTGAAACCAGGTTAGCCTTAAATTTGTGGTGATTCTCCTGCATCAACCTCCCAAGTACTGGCATTACAGTCATGTGCCACCATATCCTGCTGTCTTTGGTGGACTCTTAATATAATGCATGCGACCACAAATGTCAGCTGTTATAAGTTACTAAGTTTTGGGGATCAAGAGATAAATCAATACCATTGTTGAGAAACACTAAGATTTAAAGCCTAACCACCATGAAAGAAGTCTGAAAAAGTAGTCAGGTGAGGGAACAATGTATGTAAGTAACATCTAGACAAAAGCGACCAGAAAACTGTGACATTATGGATAGATAATATGTTTCTTCAAAGAAGTAGACAAAAGCATCCTGTTTTAAAATTATTTATTTCCACAAGACTCATGGTGGAGGGGTAGAAATTAGACTCTTTCTAACTCTGCGTAATTATAGTTACACATTTTCCTCTCTGTGTTATGGACTCAACTCCATAAAAATGACATTAGCTTATTTATCTAGGTAAAGGTAGTTTTTGCATTATACACTAGAGGGCAATATATTTAGTTTTAAATGTCAATTCTAGTTGACTTGATTGTAATTCTGACCATGTTGGTTCATCTATTAAGATCTTGCATTCCTTCATTACTAACCTAGGAGGCAGTACCTCGTACCCCAGTATTACATACTCAGTAAATAGGTGTCACTGCTATAATCATTAGAAGCAATAAAAATGTTTCCCTTTGTCTCACATTAACTGTTTCTACAATCATAACACAGAAGCAAAACTGTTAGCTGATTTATTTTTTATTTTTGAAGCAGGGTTTCTCTGTGTAATAGCCTTGGCAGTCCTGGAATTTACTTTATAGACCAGGATGGCCTCAAACTCAAAGATTCACTGGCCTCTGCCTCTCGAATACTGGAGTTAAAGGTGTGCACCACCATGCCTGGCATAACCTAACTTTATAACCACACCGAGACTGATTATTTTCATTCTAACATTTTAAAATAAAATATATGCTCTTTAAATTGCTAAGAATTTCATCAGAATCTTAATTTTTTAAATTATTGTGAGGCATTTGAGTATGGCATTCAGAAGACAACTTTTACGAAGTCAACACTGCCCTACCACTGAATCTAGTGATAGAACTTAGGTCCATCAGGTTTGAGAACCAAGGGCTTTTATCAGTAGAGTCATCTCACTAGTCTTCATCAGAATCTTTTCCATAAATTATAAACCCTACTTTACAAATGTCACCAACATAAGGACAGAGGCTAAGGAGATGGTCTACTCAGTAAAGTATGAGGACAAGAGCTTTGATTCCCTGTAGGCACATAAAAAGCACTTGCAATTACAGACATCCAAAAACCAGCACAGGGGTGGCAGAGACAGGATTCTCTTGGTCTCATGGGGACATGCTGGACACCCTAGCTAGGAGCTCCTCCAGGCTCAGTGAAAGATCCTGTCTCAAAACAGTGTCAGGGAACCACATACAGAGAACCAGAGTACACGTACAAACTCGAAATGGCACTCTCACACTCTCTCTCTCACACACACACACACACACACAAACACACACACACACAAGTACACATGTGTACAGACATTTAAATGCTGCTTAATCAGAAAATATAAAATGATGTAAAATTAAAATCTATCAAATCGGTATCTTACAAATTGTATATACTGAGTTTCTTCAGAAAATAACATGAAGCAAAATTAGGAAGAGATACAGTTTTTTGAACAAAGACTTATTATTCTGGCTGTCCTGGAACTCATACTGTAGACCAGGCTGGCCTCAAACTCACTGACATGAGTGCTGAGATTAAAGGTGCCATCATCACCACCTGGCTAAAGAAAGATTTATTTTATGTAACATGACTACCTTGCCTGGTTGTATGTCTGTGTGTGTATAGGGCCCTGGAAGTGGAATTACATACTATCCTTAACTGCTGTATAGGTGCTGGAAACTGAACCCAAGTCCTCGGAAAGTGTAACATGTACTCCGAACTGTGGAGACAACTCCTCAGACCCAAGATTTCTTAAGTTAACAACAACAACAAAAAAAAAAAAGTAAAAGTAAATTTTACAAACAAGAAGACTGAACTAAGAGTTTAATCAGAACTGAAGAACAAATACAAAAAGAAAGTCCCAAACAAAACAGGGAAAGTCTGAAGTCAGCTGATAAAACAAGCCTGGAGTCATTCTTTCCTTTTCCTGTTAAACTTCTCCCATACCCTTCATTTTTACTTAATACTAGAAAGGTGTGGGAATTTCCAGCAAGTTGGCCAGCTGCCAGCCCCACAGATCTAGAAGGAAAAAACCCCTTTCCAGGGGTCCCTCTCTTGGGCAGCTCCAGGCGCCCAGTCTGACAAGCTCTCTGAGAAGGACTATTCTGGCTGCAGACTTTCTGGCCCCACAGCCATTGTTTGCATGGCAGCTCTGCTCCTTATCCAGAGCCTGGATTAGCATAAGAATATCGTCTTTTCCCTTACAAGCAACTCATCCATTTTCTTTTCCCAAATTCTAGCCCTTTTCCCAGCAATACTAACCCCAATACACACATGCAACTGCAGTAACGCTGGTCAGGGTTACTCTAGTCATGATTATTTTTATAACAGTGAAAACACAATCTCATCAAAAATAATTTGCTTCAAGAGCTAAGACAGTGTATCTTAGCTTCCTAGCATCTAAGGAAAAGAAAATCTTTCAGCTTGAATATGAATAGAAGTAACAGTCTCTGAAGCTGCTGGCAGCTACTCTGGGACCAGAAGACAAACCAGATCCTTGGAAACAATGAATGCTCCAACAATGAAGCCCCAATTACTCAGGCAAGAGGCAGTAAATTGCCAGTTGTGGTGCTATGCTCCATCAGGACTTGCTGATGGAGGAGAAGAGAAGGCAGGCAGGTCTGAGTTCCAGGACAGCCAGGACTACACAGAGAAACGATATATAAAAAAAACCAACCAAACAAACAGAAGCAGCAGACCACAAAACAAAACGCCCATAAATTCTAGTGAAGTTTTGAGGTCACTGAAAGTTTTCCTGTGACAATCAAAAACATTCCCCAAGATGAAGGAAAGAAAAGCACAAAATCAAATGACAAACTCAAATAAAAAGAATTAAATAAAGAGACTGACAGACCCGAGTACTCTAGGTTAGTTTAACATACAATGAGTGGTTGAAAGAGTTGGCTGTCCTCTCCCAGACTCAAGTTCAGGTTCTAGCACAGAGACCACCACATGTTCCACAACTGCCTCTACCATTAGACTACCTCCAGTGGACCTGACATTCTTCTGTCAACACAGCACATGCACACATACAGCAAATGAGTGTATGCATGTCCGCACACACATGCACACATTAATGCAAATGCAACTGGATTTGGGGCATTCTTTAAGGAATGAACATTTATTTGTAAGGTGAAAATATATTAAAATTATTAATTCATAAACAAGGTGATTCAAGAAACTGAGCAGTTAATACAAAGTTCTGCTGTGACAAGAAAACCAGAGAAGCTCAAATGAAGTTACAACGGTGACACAGAGAGACTATTTTCAATCATTAAGAAAGCATTTTCTATGACTTTTCTTAAATCTTTTCCTTACCTCAAGGATGTGGCTAGATAAAACTGTAGTTCCAAGTTTCTCCAAATAGCTTTGACCTATGCTTCCATCTCATGAATTCCAAGACAGTATCAAACCGATGCATATTTTCATAAATCTGCTTTAAAATAAAAAAAAAAAGACTTAAGACAAACTTTTTATTGTCAAAAGAAAATGTGTAAAATAAGCACTAAGTATTTCATAGGTAAACTTAATTGTTTTCAAAGTAAAGTCAATGAACAGTTACTGACCAAAGAAGAACACATAGTTCTATAGAAAATAAAATAGTTAACAATGTCCACATTAAGCTTCAGGATTTAATGAACAGTATTAAAAACAAAACAAAACCTCCACGAATTGTTGAAAACACTGAAATGTACAGCTTTCTTCCACTCTGACTTTTCCCTCTCGTACTGTATTTACTGTGGAGGGACCCTCCCCCCAAAGCACACAACCTTGCAGAACCACTGTGCAAGCAGAGGGGGGAGGGGAGAAGAACAACCTGCAGCCACTGATTCCCTCTCATTTCAACATGTGGTTCCTTGGCAGCAAACTCCTATAACGGCTGACCTATCTTGTTGGCCCTCTTACCAAAAAATCTTTTTGTTTGCTTTTTGAGGCAGGCTCTTACTATATAGCTCTGGCTGGCTTTGCCCTCCTGGTGTAGACCAGGCCGGTCTTGAATTCACAGAGATCTTGTGTCTCTGCTTCCCCAGTGCTGGGATTACAGGTGTGCATTACCATTCCCAGGCACAAAATCTAAATAACCAGTTTCAATTTCATTCCAACTCCTATTTACAACCCTAGGATTTGTAAGGGTATTGCATTTGATTGTACTGGTACAATTCTGGGAGACAGATTTCAACCACAATAACACCATCCTTAAGGACCCACTGTTTCAAGGGACATTTATAAAAATGAAAGGTGAAAAACATACACTATTTTTTATTAAAAATACACATTTGGGGGCTATAGAGATGGCTCAGCAGTTAAGAGCACTGGCTACTCTTCCAGCACTTATATGGCAGCTCACAACTGCCTGTCCCTCCAGTTCCAGGGGACCTGACACCCTCTTACCAATGCACATAAAAATAAAGTTTTTATTTTCGTTTATTTAGAGCTTGTTTTCTTGTTTGTTGAGATAGGTCTTACTATGGACTCTAAGGTTGGCCTGGAACTCATGATCCATCTGCTTAGCCTGAAATTCTAAAGACAATTCCACTAAAGGCTTAAAAAAAAAAAACCCTAAAATATCAAATAGGAAAATACTATCTCATATTTCTGAAGGAAAATTTTAAAAGCATTATAAATAGAACCTATATCCCATTACAAGGTTAAATGCCTTTGTCTTCATGACAGCATGCTAAGGTTTAATAGCCTTAGCAATACTACATTCACATCTACTGGGACAACTCAAAACAGTCCAACATTATCATATCAGCTTTTCTTAAAGACTCCATTCAGCAACAGGCTGTCACAGCTAAATCTTTCACTGTCCAAGAAATGAGCATTACCCTTACAGCAATTAAAAACACTGTCTGAACTTAGCTTTTCAGGGCTAATCCACAACATAACCAGGTCCTAGAATTTTTCAGATCTACTCTTAGACCGTCACAAAAGAAATGGGGAGGATAGAAATAGATTTGAAGGACTGGCGTTTTATCTTTCTTATACAAAATCTATAGTTTTAGAAGAATTTTCCCCTAAATCAATAAAAATAAATAAACACATTATGCTTCCACTTTCTTTTTGTTTTTTCCAGACATGGTTTCTCTGTATAGCCCTGGCTGTCCTGGAACTCTCTGTATAGACCAGACTGGCCTCAAACTCAGAGATCCATCTGCCTCTGCCTCCGAGTGTTGGGATTAAAGGTGTGAGCCACTACTGTCCAGCTATGCTTACACTTTAGAAATGGCGTATTTTACTCCAAAGTCATCAGAGGGGAACTATGAGTCTACCCTGAAAATGTGTACAGAATAGAGAGGACATAATCACTGTGTTAAATTAACTTTTCATCAAAGTAAAAATAGCCCACTGATACATCATTATTTAAACATCAAACTTTATTCTAATTCTATCAGATATTTGCAATGGATCAAATGATTAATAACATGCAAAAACTATTATTTGTTACAAGAAAGAACAAGATACAGACTTGAAGAATATATTTACAAAGTACACACGTAACAAGTGACTCTAACATATGAAGCCACCTCAAAACTCCACAATAGGGGTGGGAGTATAGTTTACTGGTTGAGTGCTTGACAGAACCAATATGGCTCTAGGTTCAATATCCAGCACTGGGGGGAAAAATTAAAATTCTATAGTCACAAGAACTTTTTTTAAAAAAGTGACATCTTATTTAAGAGGTCATATGAACAGCAAGTAAACACACAGAAGACATTAGTCACTGAGAAATGCAAATTAAGCCTGGCAGAGTTATCACTACACACCTAATAGGACAGATAAATTTAACACAGTGGCCAAGTACCAGCAAAAATGTAAAGAAGATTGATTTTCCCCAATATAGCTGATGAGCATGCAAAATAGCACAGCCACTTTAGAAAAGAGCTTGGCAATTTCTTTTTTAAGTGTATTTTATGCATATGAATGTTTTGCTTACATGTGTGTACATGTTCGTGCCTGGTACTCAAGGAGGCCAGGATACCCTGGAGCTTTAAGTTACAGACAGTGGTGCTCTCTTAACTCTGAGCTGTCTCTCCAGCCCAACAATTTATTTTAAAAACTAAATTTACATTATCAACCAGGCCACTATGGTGCATCCCTATATTCTCAGCACTCGAGAAGCTGTGGTAAGAGGATGATATGTCCTTGGTCAGTCTAGGCTACATGCTAAATAGGAAGATCTTGTCTCTTCCCTCCTGAAAACACACAACCCAATGACTGACTCCTAGACACTAGGTTCTCTGCTTGGCCAATCTGTTTGCCTTCACCTAAAATCCAGTCTTAAACTAAACTGACTTAGCAAGACCCTCCATTACCCCATGTCTGATCAAGTCCTGTCCTCTTTATCTTCCCAGTGAGGCCCAAATTCAGAAAGCAATCCTGTTATGTAGGTTTAGTGAGAATATCTGCTTAGCCTATGGGTTTCTTTTTAGCCATTTTCCAATCACAAACCCTCATACCCAGCTCACTGGCTCTAGATACCCACCAGTCCATGTTGTTTTTGGAATTAAACTCAGTCCTCCCCTACAGTAAAACAAGACTTTGATGCAGTGATGTTACAGTAATGATCCTCAAAAGTTTTCTTTGGGGGACTAGAGAAGTGATTCTGCAGTTAATTAAGAGTGCTTACTGTTTTTGTAGAGGCTGAGTTTGTATTGCAACATCTGTATCAGGTAGCTCACAGCCATCCAGTTCCAGGGCATCCCACACTGCCTTCCTTCTGTGCTCCACAGCATTTGTACATGTGTGCCATATTCTCACATGGACATACAAAAGTAAAACTTTATTTTTATTTTTGAGACAAGGTCTCAATATGCAGTTCTTGCTGTCCTGGAACTCAGAAATCTCACCTGCCTCTGCCCCCTTGAGCGCTACAATCAAAGGTGTGTGGCACCAAGTGCAGCTAAAAAAAATCTTCAAAAACAAAAACACAAAAAAGAAGGCCTTCCTTTATTTACCATATTTTAAGTCATAGGCAAACTCAATGACTATGCATTTTGCCTACGAAGTACAAGAACAGGGTTCAATCTCTAGCATGTCAAGAAACAAAACAAACACATAAAACATAAAATAAATTTACTAGTACCTAGAGAAATGACCCCTTATAACTAACTACATAAAACTTTTGGGCATTGGTAGAATGCTTAATAGGCTTGAGGCCTATGTTTAATCCTCAACAAAGAAAGAATGGAGGAGAGGTGAGGGGGGAAGTAAAGAGGAAAGGACAGGACATAACTGCTGCTAGGTATGGTGGAGGAGAAAGTTTATTGCAGATATATAGGAGAGTGTAGGCAGAGACAGGGACAAATAGGAGAGCTCAAAGTGGACATGATCCTGACTAAACTGGGCCATGCTGAGAACAGAGAGGGAAAAGGGGAATAAGGTACAGAAGCCAGGAGGGCAAAGGTACTAAAGGGAAGGGTAACCAAAATGGCTGGATTATATAGGGAAGAACCTCTGGGGGAAAGGTACCCTTGTAGCACAGGACTAAAGAAAACACCAACTCCCAAGCCAACTCTTGACCCTTCAGTCTTAGGTATGGACAGTTCCTTGCCCTAGTGCCTGCCCATCCTCTAGCTACTCCTGATGAATACCAACTGCTCTAGGCTAGTACTGCAGCAAAGCTAATCCCTTTGTTTCTTTTTAATTTGTCCTTCCCAATAATGACACATTAACATATTCTAAAACCTTAACTTTCTATGTAAATTAACATATTTGATAATCCTCTTTCCCTTTCTAAATAAACAGAACCAGTACAGAAATACATATTATCCTTTTTTGTGTGTCTGTAAAGTTTAAGAAATTATCAATGGTATTATCAGTCAATAGGTAGAAGTGCCAGTAAACAAGCTCCTTTGAATAGATTCTACACACACAGACAGTAAAATTTCTACTATCAAGAATCGACAAAAAGTAATTCTAGATTAGTAAGTGTTTATTGGTCCCAAAGCATCCACTGTTGCACTTTCTGATCATAAGCAAACTTGTAATTAATATTGTAATTAAATGTGTAAAACATACCAATACTGAAAATGCCAAAAGGGTACTGCTATAATAAAATGAAATCACCAGGATGAGTAATATATAGTTTCCTTTATTTTTTCCTCTCCTTTACTAACAACTTCTTCACTTTTTATTTATAACATCCATGGTATCTAGAAAACTATTTTAATATACCAGTTATTCGGTTCTATAAAAATAAAAGACTGCATGTGATGGTTTGAGATTTAAGATATAAGGACAGAACAAATTTATTATTATTGTAGTAACTGTAAGCTGTCATAGGGTGGTGGTGACAATAACAATGAAGACCACTCCAAGAAAGGAAAGAAGACATTATCAGAATGAGTCAACCCAATAAAAAAACACAGCTCAAATGCCTGTTCAGCACTACAAACTAGGTTTGCTAAAACTCAAAACCACACAGACCGGAAT